TTTAGCAACCGCGATCCCAATTCAGAGAGCTTGCAATGTACCCTAAAAAAGCTGTAATTGTTTACTTATCTATTATTTTAACGCGATATTATAAACATATTGTTGTGCTGTAGGTGAATGAATTTCATGTTATAGAAACATTACAGCGCTACCTGTACCGGATCCCAATGGATATCGTATTATTTTTAAGCAATTAAAAGACACTGATCCAAATAAATACAAATTGGGCGATGCTTTAAAATTACTCATGATGACTGTGGATGCAACTCTTTATACCGAAGGTTGCGAACCCGGTTATATTTTTCTTTTTGACATGACTGGTGTATCCTTGGGACACTTATCTACACTTTCCATCAGCAGTATTCGAAAATTCTTTCAATATATTCAAGACGGAATACCATTTAGATTGAAGGGTATTCATATTCTAAACGCTACCTGGATCCTCGACAAAGTTCTCGCAATCATAAGACCCTTCATGAATCCAGAATTTTTTAAACTGGTAAAATTAACAAATAAGAGAAATAATATAGGAAAATGTTCTTTCCCTTTATTTATTTAATCAAATAAACTCGCATTGTTACACATAGATACACCCATACACCGGCGATGTGTCGGAAGTTTACCAACATATACCTCCCAAATGCCTTCCTAAAGATTTTGGCGGAGAATTGGACTACGTTGAAGTACTTAAAGGTAAAAATGAAATAAATAACCTTCGCGCGTTTACGTTTATATTTTCCTAATTATATATTTTCCATGTATAGAGCAAAATGACCATAAATTACAACAATTGAGAGAGTATTTCCTCGAAGAAGAACTCGTTAGTCAAAACTACAGTGCTCCGCAAAAGAAGAAAAAATAATTGTAACGATTTTCATTGATCTTGTTTATCTTGCAAATTATACACAATGAATCTTTGAAGAATAAAGAAAAATATATAGATAAAAAAAAAAAATAAATATCTAACAGTTTGATACGATTCGTAGTCAGCCGCTAATGCACTTGCGCTGTAACGTGGTCAGTAGAAAATGAGCGCGTCTTTATCCTACTTTATGCCATAGCGTGGCACATTCGTGGTCGATTCTGATTCGACGTTACCCAAAGCATCATCACTCTCCCTCCTTGCAGCTCAAAAATTCCTACATTTATTTCTCTCTCGCGTATTACTTTTTCCAGTCAAATATTAATGACAATTAATTCCAATTTCATCTTGTTCGATCTTTTTCTTCTTCCCTCGACGACTCTTGTCTTCCTTCGATTGTTCGATTCTTCGATTGCGCACAAGAGAGTCAATATCAAGGAGAGACACCTTCGGTAAATTTGTTTTTTATGAATCTGTACAACCGGTGACGGTTCGACGACAATTCGACGACGACAATTCGACGACGACAATTCGACGACGACAATTCGACGACGACAATACGAGCAATATATTAAGAAAGGATAATTACTAATTAACTTTTCTTTCCTCTAATTTTCCTATTTTTATATTTCATGCGATTTATTTTTCCTTTTCTTTCATTCTTTTGACTTAATCGAATCGATCGTTTTTCGAGAGTAAGATGTTAATACCGTTGATTTTATTCATCGGCACGATCATCGGATCGAGCGTTTCTATCGCTGAGGATTGCAAAGGTTGCGTCCCTTTGGATTCATATTCCTTTGACAAGGTTTGTCACATTTCATTCTCTTTATTCTTTTCAATTATAAAAAGAACATGTTTCTTTTGTATTATCGCTGTGTTTTGGATGATCCGTTACCATCGTTACCTGTACAATGCATTGTAAATACACGCATATAATCCTTTTTTTCATGAATAATTGAACATGCTCTGTTACTATTACAGGTGATAGCCAAGTTTAAGGCAGTTGTTGTTAAATTTGACGTTGCATTCCCATACGGAGAAAAACACGAACAATTTGGAAAGATAGCTGCAACTACTAAAGATTCTCAAGATCTTTTAGTTGCAGAAGTTGGCGTTAAAGATTTTGGCAACAAAGATAACGCAGATTTGGCTAAGCGTTATAACATTAAGAAAGAAGATTTTCCAGTCGTTCTATTGTTTTTACAAGGAAAAACAGAACCTCTTAGGTTTGTCGCAGAAAAGGATGTTGATTTTACTGCGGACAATATTAAACGATTCATTAAATCAAAGTCGGGCGTATATCTTGGATTACCAGGTTGCGTAGAGCAATTGGATAGGCTCGCTGAAGAATTCAAAAGCAGCGCAGAAAATGATAGACAAGTAAAAGATGGACTAATTAAAAGAAACAATCGTTGAAATTGTTCTCTATTATCTTATCTGTAACTCTATATGTATGATCTTTTGTTTTCAGGAAATTTTATACAAAGCTAAGGTTTTCGAAGAAACATTACCAGAAACGCAACGTGCAGCTGCTAAGGTGTATGTTAAAATGATGGAAAGAATATTGGAGAGAGGAGACATATTCGTTCAAACGGAACAAACGCGTCTGGAGGGCCTTCTAAAAGGAAAATTGTCAAACGATAAGAAACGTACAATGGAAGAAAGGAGAAACATTTTACAATCATTTACGCACAGGGACGAGTTGTGAACAATTTCTTACATAATATGAATTTCCTCCAATATATTAAAAAATATTCAAAAAATATTGACAATTGCCTTATTTTTCTCTTGTTGTTAACAAGAGTGTTGACAACGTTTTGTCTTGTCATCATTGTTTTAATCTATACTGCAAAATGAAAACAAAAATATATTTGTAATACTTCTCTTTATTTTCATATACTTGTTAACTTGAATTTTAATTAATCGTTAAAATAGTAATGTATAAAATATCTTTGAACATAGTACTGTTACAAATTGAAATTTCACTCCTGTATATATAAATACTAAATGTTTAAATTTACGTCGTGTTTTTACATGTATTCAGGGTTATCAAATTTCTATTGATAAACATTTTCATGTATAAAAATGTTATCACTTCTTCCTCCATCTGCTATTGATTAAAAAACTCGCAGCGTAAAACGTTCTTAAAAACAGCACCTTATTAATAAAGCGAAGATATATATTTTAGTTTGTATCGAATTTAAAAATTTCTCTATAAAATCGTTGCCCCACGTGCGCGCGCGAATCTTATAAGCATCGGTAGTGTATTATTTTGAATGCATACATGTACATATGTATGGATGTGTATGCATACATAAATATTGCATATTGCTTGGAATGTGCCATCATCATATGAATATTAACGTCACTTTACCCCTGCACTGTTGAAAGTAGTTCATTACATTTTACATATTCTTATTAATTTTTTGAATTATCTTGTACTTCTAAATTTTCAAGTCCTTTAGTTACATCCTCTGTATTTTCTATGACTTTGACATTTTCCACAGATTCTTGAGAAACCTCTTTGCGAACTTTTTCTTTGTTTGTTTGTTCTTCGTTGTCAGTACTCCCACTGTAGCTTACATCACTGCAGGATTCACTATCACTATCGACGTTCTTAATTTCAGGATTGCTTTTGCCAGCGTAAATTGCACATTCAGATCTCACTATGGATTTTGCTTTTTCAAAAGCATCTTTCCATAATGATGCATCTTAGATGAGAGAGAGAAAAAAAAAAACAAAAACAAACAAAAACAATACATTCATTAAATACGATACAAATAAATGTTACCTTAATGTGTATACACAATAAAGTAATCAAACATTAATATAGAATGAAAACAAATTCTTACTTTCTGCATTTGCAAAACGTATTGCAAGTAATTCTGGCTTAAGTTGTTCATCGGCAAAGTCAGCAAGAACACTCCAAACCCAAGCCCTGTCGCTACCACAATTTGGTTTCAATTCCATCCAAGGAGTGACAAAATGATTAGCACATATTTTCAACGTTTTGTCTCTACGCATTACCACTCTAACTGTATTCTTCGTCTTATGTCTTAATAGCTTTACTTCTCCAGTACCACGCTCTTTCCATTCAGGTGGGCTAATAGCAGACTCATAACGATATAGTTTAGCTCTTCTGTAATTGCAGAATAACAAGTATTAAGCTAAACAGATATAACCTTTATATAATATATATTTCGTATATATTTCGTATATATTTCGAGTATAGAACTCGAGACTTACAATTTGATCATCTCTTCTTCATTTTCTTCGTTATTTGAAACCTCTATTAGAGGTAAAGATATGATTGGTTCAAAGTGTACGTCATTTTCCGTATTAACATCTTCATTCTCCTGAACATCACAACTCGTACCCTTAACGTCCACATGATCTCCGTTCAACTATATTACGGATGATTCATTATTTATTAACTAATGAAATACCTATTTCTTATATATATAATTATATTGAACTAATTAGATTTGATTCTACTACGAGCTTTCATTATTTATTTATACAGATATTTTGTTTTAACATTTTTCTATGATATAACATATTGTAATAATACTAATACTAATACTACTAATAATCATAATTAATGATGATGATGATGATGATGATTATTATTATTATTGTTATTATTATTAGAAATAAAAAAAACTTACATAGTCTCTATCTGAGATATTAAGAAAATTTGTAGCAACAACAAATTTTCATGATATCAAATAAAATGTGAAAATGAAATCTAAAATGAAATGTAGAATAAATATGAAATATTTACCACGTTTTCTGGCATATTTTTCTAATGTAGAATGGAATCGACGAGAATAATTGATATACCACTTGACGCCGGTATTTTCAATGCTACAACTGCTAAGCAAAAATAAATTTTCATACAGAGAAATAATAGTCAATTTGTTTATTAATATCAAGTTCGGATCAATTTTCTAATATTTCAATTCACTTTTTTACCTTTATTCAAGAGAAGTAGCTTCGTATGGGCAGAAGTTTTTCATGTTGTCGTCAACTGTTTTTAAGTATAGCGATTTTATTCTAAAATTTCCGTTTGATCGAATAACGTTGAAGCAATATTACAAAAATCGCTTGCTATTGGATGAAATCGGTTGTCAGTATATCGTTTCAAATGGACCAATTGCCGTTAAGTATCAAGAAAAAAATGTGTTTGTATTTGTCGTTTTGTTTGCAAGAGAATAATTCTATCACCATTAATAATAAATAATCTTGAAAAATTACAAATTGCAAACTGCAAATGAAAGAATAAAAATAGGAAATTGAAAATGAAAGAAATGTCCAAATCCAAACGTACGATTCGTCCGTTGGAATTGCGCTTAACGTTGTCCAATAAAAAACGTTGTCAATAAAGTGAGTGGTAATTCGATGCGCGCGCATTGGAAAACAAGGTTAAGCTTGGTCGTGGCGGTACTCCGACTCAATTGGAGGGGATAATGTCATGAAGAACGACAGGGAAGGAGGAAAAGAAGAAAAGAGAGTGAGAGAGAGAGAGAGAGAGAGAGTGAGTTAAAGGGAGTGGAGTGCGCGGTTCCTCCGGGCGGCCATTGCGGGTACCTTGTTGAAAACCGCGAAGACGATAAAGTGCTTTGTGTAAGACGGATTAAGATCCAGAAAAATCAAGGCTCATCCTCGTATCAAGGTGCTCCGTGTGAAGCCCGGTACGCGCACGAAACTCCGGTCCGATGGCTGAGACCGACAAGTTAAACATTGATAGCATCATAGGTCGATTGTTAGAAGGTAAAGCTCTCTCCGATCATTCTTCTTAAGAGAAGCGGGAAGGGTATCGGGGAAAGGGGGGAGGAAGAAGCTATCGTACGGAGTTAGTAAGCCGCGTCATTTTTTCTCCACCTTTTACTTTCCTTCAATGTTTTTTTCATATTATTTCTCTTATTTTTATCTAGCGCATATCCATATATTTTGTCTTCTACCTTTCGATATACCGATTATGCAATGAAATCTAAACACGACAGATCGCTCGCATTAAGGAATCTCGGCGAGTACGCGCGCGCGAGAGAGAGAGAGAGAGAGAGAGAGAGAGAGAGAGAGAGAAAGAAAGAAAAAGGAAAGAGAGAGTTACAATATTATCGATGGTTTGTTTACATAAAAATGAGGTTGACAACCGCCCTCAAATTGTCGAAACAACATTTGGGCGAGGCCCGATTCTTTCYTTCTACTTTTCTATTTTATTGAAATATATTATTTGTCGTTTGCAACACTCGTCATATTATTTGGACGAATATCGTCGATGTCGCCACATCAATGCTGTCTATTATAGATTGTATCTATTAGCTATATTAAGAGCTCATGCTGATTCATGCAAATATTCGATCAAGGGTGCGTGCTTGCGTTCGGTTTGCGTATACGCGCGTGCGTGTCTGTTGCGTGTCCGTTGCGTGTCCGTTGCGTGTCTAGAATTTCTGAGAAATCTCTATATGTAATAGATTCAATTGAAATCATCAAATAGACAAGATTTGTTAACGTTATTAATCTTTCATTTTTTCCTTTCGACTGTTTTATTAGTAAGAGGTGCTAGACCAGGAAAAAATGTACAATTATCAGAGGGAGAAATTCGAGGCCTTTGTCTTAAATCTCGTGAAATATTTTTGTCTCAGCCTATTTTGCTAGAGCTTGAAGCACCGCTTAAAATATGTGGTAAGTTTTGATAAAATGTATGACGTTGCTTAAAAACCATTGTATAATTAATATATTTCGTTAAGACTTGATTAAGGACTTGCTTTTTAAGGTGATATTCATGGTCAATATTATGACTTATTGCGATTGTTCGAATATGGTGGATTTCCACCCGAAAGCAATTATCTCTTCTTGGGAGATTACGTCGACAGAGGAAAACAATCTTTAGAAACCATTTGTCTTCTTCTTGCCTATAAGATCAAGTACCCAGAAAATTTTTTCTTACTCAGAGGTAACCATGAATGCGCTTCTATCAACAGGATATATGGGTTTTATGACGAGTGTAAGTATTTTCTAAAGTTATAAACAAAAAAGAAGCTTTACATTGCTTATAATAATAGATGTATGTGAAAGTAAGGTAATGCATATTTCAGGTAAACGCCGATATAACATCAAGTTATGGAAAACCTTTACGGATTGTTTTAATTGTTTACCTGTTGCGGCTATTGTGGATGAGAAAATATTTTGTTGTCATGGAGGATTGAGTCCAGATCTTCAAAGCATGGAACAGATTAGACGTATCATGCGACCTACAGATGTACCAGATCAAGGGCTTCTTTGCGATTTACTATGGTCCGATCCAGATAAAGATACCATGGGTTGGGGTGAAAATGATCGTGGCGTCTCTTTTACGTTTGGCGCCGAAATCGTTGCGAAATTTTTACATAAACACGATTTTGATCTGATATGCCGTGCGCATCAAGTAAGTGTTGTAGTGGTAGTGTTGTCCCTTTATGTTTCTTCCAATTTCAATCCAAAGACAATAAATAATAAACATTTTCATTGACATTTCAGGTAGTAGAAGATGGCTATGAATTTTTTGCTAAACGACAATTGGTAACTTTATTTTCTGCTCCAAATTACTGTGGGGAATTTGATAATGCTGGTGCCATGATGTCAGTAGACGAGACTCTAATGTGTAGTTTCCAAATTTTAAAACCAGCGGATAAAAGGAAATTTACTTATGGCGGTCTAAACGCAGGAAGACCAGTAACTCCTCCACGAGGTGCAAATAACAAAAATAAAAAGAAGTGAAATTATTAGAATGATTTTTGGACGCAAAAGACTTAGGATCTTATGTATTGTTCCCCACATCCGTTTTTTTTTTTTTTGACATTGCGAATTCTTATAAATAAGAGTTGCTATTAATTCATTGCAGAGCATACGAAGTTCATTTAAAAGAAAAGAAAAAAAAGCAATGACTACTTAAAAAGATGGCAGATATTATCCGGAGAGGCGTTGTTCGTTATTTGCGAGATTTTCAAAATGAAAATAATTCAGTTGTGGCAAGGTAGAATTTATCGGTTGGAAATTGATTTCTATTTGTACGTATACGCGGTCGATTTAATTATGAAGTAATAAGAAAATATAAATATATATATATATATTATAAGAAAAGGCACGAGTCATCGAGAAAGGAAATGAAAAGAAAGAAAAGAAAAGAAAAGGAGAAAAAACACCAAAAGCGTAAAAACACTGGAAATAAAAGGACAAAAACCGGATTAAAATAACGTAGATCGTAGAATAATAATAGCTATCACTCGTTCGATAAAATGATCTCTGAACTATAATATTTATCACTCTCTTGCAGCTTTTATATAGTTCTGTCTAACAGAAGTGAAATTATATATATATATATATATATGTAACATTATTTTGTTCCGCTTAAATTTGTTCCCTATATATAATGTAACGCGATACGACCAACAAAATATCCGGAATCTTGATTGTAACGATATAATAATATACGATCTGTAAGCGCGATAATGTATTATTAGCGACTGCCTATGATCGTTAATTATCGACTGTAATACGTCCGTACGAACCTTGTACAAAGTAATGTTATCATAATCGAAGCTCAACGTTTCTCTGATAAAAAAAAAAAAAAAAAAAAGAAAAAACAACTAACACTCGCACAAACTTCGTAAAACAGATTGGTAGATGAATGAATTTGCGTAATATAAACGTCTTTATATATATATATATAAATATATGCGAGATATATATAAAATAAAATAAAATAAAGTTTCACTTTTTTGTAGAACCCTTTAATAATAGTTCAATATGAAAATAACGTAATAGATTTATAAGAACGTTGCAAAGCTTCTCCGGACCCTTGCCTTATATCAATTTTAAACATTAACACGTAAAGGAAGTAATATTATGTTACATTATGTTTTAAATAAAATATATTTTACGCAAGTAGTTAAGCGTTACATTACGTAATATGTATATTACGTTGAGTTTAAGTGAAAATATGATAAAAGAGAAATATTTTCTATCAAGGATATTATTCATCTTTTTTGACACAAATTTGTGTTTATGGTCCTACTTATTATCGTGGCAGGATGAAACTGTTTTTATCGTTATCACAATAGTGTATTCTTTCAATTTTCATTTCCTCTCCTCTGTACTATTATGAATATTTAATCTATCTTATATAAAATGCAACGATTTTTTTTTCTCCTCAATTTAAACAAACAATAACTGAAATCGATTATTTTGCCTTTCTCTAATATCTGTATATTCAAAGTTTCCTTTTTTTATAAATAAATCGGAGCGAAAAACTCAGTATCGCAGTATAGCTTTGTTTAACGAACAACGTCCTCTAATATATACAACTTTGCTAAAAACTGTAATTGTTCTCTACTTTATATTCGTCGCACGTAAATCATCGTCATTTGATTTTGATTTTGATACACACACACACACACACACATACATCCTACATACATACATATAAAATAACAGTATTGGTACTATGCTATTACAATGCAATTACAATAATGATAGCGAATATTAAACAATAAATTCGTAAACTACAATTTTAGCTAGATCGTGTATTTTTTACCACTTCATATTTTTTCAACCAACATCAGAAATGAATAAATGATAACATTCATGCTGATCACTTTTGACAACCTGTTTACAGCTCTGATTCTACAACGAGATTCCCAAGTAATTAATCGATAAAAGATAAGAGGTGATAAAGTAAACAAGTATCTATTACTTCTAACATAAGCAAATACTATACTTGGAATCTAGACAATGACGTATGAGTGTGTATGGTCATTGAAATAACGTAGTGGTCGGTCGGCCGCCGGTCGGTCGTAAAGGTAGATGCGTGTACATGTATATATATATACACACTCTCTGCAGGCAGAGTTGTGTTGTTGGAAGCTTTGCGGCGTGTCGTCGTGGTCGAGCGTTGAATTTCGTTTGGCTGAGAAATCGGTGCTACCCTTAAAGAAAAGAGAATGAGAGAAAAGAGGCGGGACTTGGGCTTTCGGCGAGAGGGCCAAAAGAACGATGCCAAGTTGCGAGGCGTCAGAAGGAACTTGGCTTTCTAGTACGCGTGGGTGTCCATGTAGGAGGTTCTTCGAGAAACCCCTCCTTTCGCGTGGCACCTCCGCCCGTAGCTTTTTCAGCTCTTCAACGATTCGAGAGAGGGTGAGGGAGAGGGAGAGGGAGAGGAAAGAGAATGATGTTCCGATGATAAGACTACTAGCGGGGGTAGTTGCCAGCAGAGAGTCCTTTCTGAATCATCATCCGATTTCATCGTCCGAGATTTTCTCTCTCTCCCTCTGTCTCTTTCCCTCTCTCGTTCCCGTTACAGAAATCCTTTCTTGTCAGCAAACTCTCTCGAAGGCGAGGACAAGTCCCGTTGACGATCGGTCGGTCGGCAAGTTTTGAGATCATTATTTCTGCCTTGGTAGCCCTCTTCTTGTGATACGCCTAGCTGTCAACGGCTCCAATTCGAAATTCGGTCAAATTTTGTGACTTAAAACGACGAACGAAGAATAATTCCCTTCCTTCTATCATAATACATACTCGTGTTTTTCTTCTTCTTTTAAATTTGCTCGTCCTCTCGTAAACGTTATTATTTAATTGATCGGCAAAGTAATATGTCAAGTCAAAGTGTTGTTTTAAAGTGTCATCGTCGTCGTCGATCGATTGGAAATATTGAAAAAATGAAGGAAAAGTGATAGAAGAAAAAGGTTTCAATGCTAAAGTTCTTAGATATTGTGGCTTATTCGATGTGTTCTTCGGTTATTTAAGTTAAATATGCAAGAACAACAGCAAGAAGAACGACACGATATCGGTGGTGGTGGTGCCGCCGCAGCTGCCGCCGCCGATTGTTGCTACCAACAATGGCCAACGCAGCAGCATCAACAATTGTCGATGGTACCGTCACCGATGCAACAAATGGAAGGTGAGTCCAATCCTTCCGTCTTTCCTATCCTAAATCCTGTGTTCCAAGCTTATATATAATCTATTCTGTTAGCGTGTTTACAAAGCGCAGGCAGAGTTAAACGATCCCGAAGTCCAACAAATTCAAACAAGTCCTCTTTGGCGTCGGCGCACGCTTCGAATCCGCCGGCAGTAACATCGGTGGTAGCTACCTCTTCCTCTTCGGCGGATCTTAGAAACGACAGGAACAATAATAATCGTCATCATGGTGATCACCACCATCATCATCATCATCATCATCATCATCATCATAATAACGTCACCAATAATCATCACCATCGACGTAGAAGCGACGAGGATAATGAGGAAATCGGCTCGAAGATTCCGCTTCATCCGGCGCTCGCTGGAGCTGGGGCAGCGCTCGAGGCTAAACCACTTTGGGAAGAATTCCATCAATTGGGAACAGAAATGATCGTGACCAAAGCTGGAAGGAGAATGTTTCCTACTTTTCAGGTGACAACTTAAACCACTAAACATAGGAATGTATAAACAACAAAATAAATAAGAAAGCGACCACCTTTTTTCAGTGTCGACTTTTTGGTTTGGACCCAAACACGGAGTATCTTTTGGTCATGGATTTTGTCCCGTGCGACGACAAAAGATACAGATATGCTTTTCACAGCAGTGCTTGGGTCGTTGCTGGTCGGGCCGATCCAGTTTCACCACCCAGGATTCACATGCATCCTGACAGTCCTGCCAGCGGAGCTCACTGGATGAAGCAACCGGTCTCTTTTGACAAACTCAAACTAACCAATAATCAACTCGATGACAACGGCCACGTAAGTCCCTGAAAAACTGATCATCTTTGAGATTTTTAAATCAAACTCGTTGGTTGGGTGTCTTTTCTTTTCCGGTCCTCGTTAAAACTCTCTCTCTCTCTCTCTCTCTCATTTTGAAAGTACCCTCGTAATAAAGTAGAATGAAAAATGCAGCATGTTTTCGATGGCAACGTCGACGTCAACGCCGACGGCATCAACGACGACGACGACGACAACGTTCCTACTCTTGTTCTTCCACGTGTTTGTCGTTTCGGACGAGTTCGCTTTAATTGAGCTGAGATACGAGGCTGTCGTTTACCACAAATTCTAACTCACCCTAAAGCCATGACTCTTTTCGCGAGAACGAAATATTACTTTGAAAATGTACTCTTTTTTACTCGACTTTACGAGTTTTTTTTTCTTTTTTTTTTTTTTTTTTTGTTGGATCGATCAAGCATCCACGCAAAGCAACTTGGATACTCGAGTTTAAATTGATCTTTTTCCCCTGTCGCCACGATGGCATGGACCATCGTAAGCCTAGAATAACGTAAACACAGTTAACGTAAACGATAAACATAAACGCATGGGAAAAGAGGTCGAACCTATGAAAGAATGAACATCACAAATTGTTATAATTTCATGTGCATACGCGGCCGTTATACCAAAGAACAAGAATTTCTACATAAGTTAGCAATTTATCACGAATTTCAGCTGCAAAGAACACAATGTTAAGATAAACTTTAGATAAACTTGAAAACGTTTTTCTTCATAAGATTGATTATGATTATAAACTTGAAACTTTTTTCAACGATTTTTCTTTCAACGATTTTTCTTTCAACGATCACACGCTTACGTATATCGATTTACATTAACGATCGCTAATTTACAAACTCGGAGTCGGGTCGGCGATTGACGAAAGAAAGAAAAAGGGTCGATGCTCGAAACAGTTGTTCTTCTTATCGAATGAAACAAGCGTAACAAGAAGCTTAATTAGAATCGGATAGCCAAAAATAATCGGAACGATTTGTCGTGCCAAATCGAAGGTAGACGACCAGTGTGTTACAATCGGTATTGCAAACGCAACAAAAAGTGCACCTGGGAGAATGTCTTCGTTGATTTTTTCGCGACTCGTATTACTTTGGTTGTTGCTTTTGCTCATAAAATTGCTTCGAAATACTAATCGAAATACTAATCGAAATACTAATCGAAATGTTGATCGAATAATGATCGTCGAGGGGCCGGCTTTCTACCAGAAACACCCCTCTATTTTTCGACGCTCACGGAATCCTTGAAAGAGATCAGAGTAGTCTCGTGCCCTCCGCTCGCGTTCCTTTCGACAATTTATTGCTCGCCGTGTAAGCGAAGACCTTTGACACAAAAAAGAGAAAAGAGAGAGAGAAAGAGTGAGGAGGAAGGCTAGGAAGGCGACAAACAGGCTAGTTTGTTCTTTTAATTGCGTATGGAAAAAGGCTTTAAGGAGAAGACGATGCTGCTAGAACGTCTCTTAATTGGCGTATCTTATCGAAGAGAACCTTTCCGGATCGCATACCATTCGTGTTCGAGTTTTTTCTCTTCTTTTTTGTTTTTTTTTTGTGTTTTTTGTGTTTTTTTTTTTTTTTTTTTTATTCTTGTGTGGCACAGATTTGTCAAAGAAGAAAGGTGGACGCGAGTAGGATGAGACGTTGGTCGAAAAAGAGAAGAAATTCGATTGCTCGTTTGGGGCCACACGCATTTTCCATGGACGCAATATTCTTGAATTTGTCTTATTTTTCCCGGACGCGGAGACACACGTGCGCTCTCTCTTCGCCAAGGCATATGCACATTAGCGTACGCATAGGAAAGAACCAAGAGGGTGTCGTATTGCCGTTGGCTCGGGGGTTAGTTTTTACACTAATTAGTCACCGACTCTCTTCTGCCTGTCAAACATTGTGACCGCCCCCCCTGTGGTGCTTCTTCCTCCTCTTCGTATAAACGAGAGCTATGTTCATCTCTCTATGTTTTTTTCATCTCTTCTGCTCTTTTCTACTCTTGTCCATTCTTTTTCTCCAGATCATCTTGAATTCGATGCACCGATATCAACCGCGATGTCACGTGGTGGTCGCCCCTTCTCCTCCAGGTTCAGCACCAGATCCAAGGACGGAAAATTTCAAAACGTTTTCCTTCCCGGAGACGATATTCACCGCGGTCACGGCTTACCAAAATCATCGTATAACGCAATTGAAAATTGCTAGCAATCCTTTTGCCAAGGGTTTTCGAGATTGCGAGTCCGACGATTGCGACACCGTGGCCACCGCCACCGCCGCCGCCGCCGTTTCCTCGACCATGCAACAGCAGAATCCTGCCAAGAGAACAGCACCAAGTTCTACCAGTGGCACCGTAGTAAACGCTAACTCTAATGTTATTTCCGCGAGCGGATATCCTAACGCTATTATACCGCAGGGAATGCAAATACCTAACTTGTCGAGTCAAGAACATCATCATCATCATCACCATCATCAATTTTATCCTACGGCTCCTACGGGACCTTGGTCCTCTTATCCACCTCCCCCTCCTCCCCCGCCGCCACCTCATTCACATCACCACGGACAATCGAATCCTCACGTAAATTCTTCCCTTCATTATCCTCATCCGCATCCTGCGCACCCTGCACACCCTGCTCACCCTGCTCACCCTGCTCACCCTGTTCACCCTGCGCATCCCAGTACGTCTCTTTACGGACCACGATAATTGAATTGAATTGAATTGAATATTGTATATTTATATTGTATTTAACGTTAGATATTTTCTATAACGACGTTCGTTAGAAAACATTTGATATGCATATACTATTATATACATAGGTATCTTAGGATTTGCGTTAAAATGTTAACCAGTTCGATCGTAAGTTCGACGTAACGTCGTTCAAGAAGGAAAGTGCCTTTTGTAGGAGCAAAGTGCGTCTATTTATACGAGGTATCTCAAATGCCGAACGAGCCTAAAACGCTCTCTTGAGCCAAGACGGGAATGTAAACGCTCCGTGACAACCCATGAGAGTGCGGGACCGTTAAGTGCCTTAATAAATTATGCCTCGAGTATCGTGCCATTGTACTTTTAAGTTTAGAGAAGAGTTGCGTGCTTTTCCAATTTAACGAACATTTCGACTAGTTATCCGATCAAAAATGCGACTTTTCTTTAACGTACTAAACTACCTTACTAGTCTACTTTTTGTTTTCAAAATAAGCACAAATACACCAAGTTTCCAAACAAATTGTATTCTTTTTATCACTTTCATTCCAAAATTTCCTAAATTCTGATCGAACAAACACCTAAAGTCGTAAGACTACTACGACTTGGAGTATCTTCTGGCAGTGGCCGTGATGCACGCGGCACCTACGGAGAGACAGACGGACGTGCCTCTTGATTGATGACCGAGTACCAAACGACGACGCGCTGTGTAAACATATTAGCGTATCCTTAATGACCACGGATACATTTTCTCATTGGCAAAGAACATTTTGCGGTTACAAGCAAGTATTACTGAATATTTTTTGAAAAAGATTCAATTGTAAACGAGGGTCACTGTCAAGCAATGTTCTAATTTCTCTGTCTAGTAAATGTTATTTAAAAGGTCCCTCGCGGACCCTTTTCATTTTCAACTTACTGCACGTGACGGCGGCGCCGGCCGTAAAACAGAAGATTTTGCGATCAAGAAGTTGCTTTCATCTTTTCACACGAGGAACGTAAAGGAATTGGCCCTCGAAAGGTCAAGCAACATAAAAAGATACACCCTCAAAGACGTTTCGTAGAGCAAGATCATTTCAAGATAAACGGAACACCAAAGATGCCCAGGGTGGGTCGTTGGGTATCCTTTCGACAAAGTAGTCCTTTCATCTTACAATTAGTTTTAATCGCTGCTATCAATAACAATGTATACAATAATATAATTTGCCAATTAAGAAATATTTTTATTGGACATTATCGTTAAAACGAAGATTCGGATTCTATCATAAGAACAGGTGACGAGAAAAATAGAAAAAAAAAATAGAAAAAAAGTATAAATTGTGTATATTCTAAGGAAGAACGTAATAAATCTCGCTAATTTTCCGAGTGTGCCTCGTTGGTCGCGGATCAAAGACCGACAAATGAATCGCTCGGTTGAATTTGCCGGAAAAGAGGAGGAAAAGAGACGAGAGAAGGAAACGTCTTGCATCCCACGGGCCATGAATCCGTCATCGCCAGGGGTTTCGCCAGGGGTTTCGCCAGGGGTTTCGCCAGGGTTTTCGCTTAGAGCAGCTCGCTACGAAAGAAACATTTTTATACTTTTCGAGCTAATTTCGATATTTTTGTACAACTTTGATCAAATGTAATTGTTGATTTCGTATTCCCTCCTAGGATTTTTTGGCCAAACTATGATTATTATTATTATTTCCTGACGTTCACTTTGTAGACAAATATTTTCTTCTCCAAATTTCCAAGTACATACTTTCAGAAAGGGCAAAGACTTGCTTCCTCTTGGCTTCCTCTTGGCTTCCTCTTGGCTTCCTCCTGGCTTCCACTTGGTGGAGCAAAGGAAAAGTAGCAGCGTGTAAAGAAAAAATAAAAGAGGTGAGTAAGGAAGTAAGAGAGATGGCGGTATTAGGGAGGAGACGGAGAGGAAAGTTGCGGACGTAAAGCGTAAACATTGGAGGTGCGATTTGACGTGCACTCCGGCCATTCCGTCCCCGTCCGAGACGAAGCGACGCGTCTTGCTTGCTCGTTGGATATACGCTTTAAGAATCCCGAAGAAGAGGACAAGGCGATGGCTGGAATCTGTAAATCTGTCATTGCGGCCATATTCTCGTACGGCTGGTACCGCAGGATATGAACTTGCGTCTCGTACAAGACCGACCAACCGACCGACCGACCGACCGACCGACCTATGATTCGTCTTCCTCGATTTCCTCTTTCTCTTTCTCTTTCTCTTTCTTCAATTCAATCATTTGAATTTCTACAAATTATTATTTTCTAAATATTTATTCCTAATATAATCCTCCAAATGAAATGTTAATGTTATATAATTAGCATAAGAAGAGGACTCTTTTTTCGTTTTATAAATATTATCAACTATATATACACAGTTGTACACATAGTTGGGTTCTGCGGAGGAGGAAGAAGCACGCGGACATATCCGTCAACGTAATGAAAATCGTTTAAGCGATCTCTCCGAGCGCGAAGACTGACGTTGACCGTGAATCTTTCTCTTTCCAAGATTGAAAAAGTTTATTTTACGATGTAAATAAAGGGGACGTCTTTGCGAGATTTCTACAAAGATAGAGAGATGAGAGAGGGTATGGCCACGTGCGTGCAACCATTGCTATCATTTTAATATCAAATTTTCAAAGCGATCTTTCTTCTTATTTATCTTAGCATAGAGGTGTTCTCCAAACTAAAATTAAAGATGGAATGTTAACCTTAACCCTTTGGGCTCCGACTACGCTACTATTGCTTCATATAATTTCTTGTTATTTCAATACTAAGAATAAAAAATGAATTAATGATTTAGCGAAAAAGATAATAATTGGGTGAGATACTCGTAAGGTAGATTTCGGAGGACGTGTATTCGGCGCGCATATCTTATCTCGCCGCTGGAATCCTCATATGTCTGTCATCGTACTTCTCCAACACCTCGCTCGAATCCTCCGACGCCTCTGCGTTCGCCCTCGCTTCAATCCTACGATTTCTTGCTTTTTTCTTTTTGCTTTTCTTCTCCTTCTTCTCCTTCTTCTCCTTCTTCTCCTTCTTTTTCTCTATCTCTCTGTGTACTCTCTAGCTGGACGAAAATATCATCCTCGTCTATTGCTCGTAACCCGAGCGTCTTTATCATCCTGCCATTGTTATCAATAAATGTGCAACAAATTTGCAAACATTTCAAATAGTATGCATCCTCGCCATTTTGTACTTTTCTATTTCGATACTCGTTTCGTTGACTTTTCATTTCGGTCTTTAATTATTATTATTCTTAATATAGTATTGTGTGAATTTCACAAAGTTGGACTTACCATTTCTTTTGTGATCGTCGTTGCGTACGTTGAAGAAGGTTTCAACTTCATTTAAATATTATTGCATGGCATTCGATGGCCTTCGCATTTCACTTCTAAAAAAAAAACTATTATTAATAATCGGACGGTTTTTTATTCTTCATAAGATACGTAGATCAGTTTGAAGTATTGTAGCAAACTTCGGTTCGTTGAATAAAGTCTGTTGATAAGGTAGGAAATAGTTGACTGTTTTGCACGTAAGATGACACTGTACCAAGGCGATCCGCGCGCCATATCGCGTAATCTGAAAGAACTTTATACTGTCATCGGAAAAAGAACAAAATTACATTGTAGAGAGAACAATATTAGGTTAAGTTAGAAACTGGACGATGCATTCATTCTAAAACATAATGTATTACTAATATAATTATTACAACTGCTATGAGAAGTAACGTGACGTCAGCAGGAAATTAACTCTCGTGAAAGATTTCTTGGAAAAACGCAAAGTTTCGAGTTCCATGGTGGAACGGTAATCGGTCAAGGAATTACGTACTACTCTACATACAAATACTATTAATTTTGTATACATAACTTTAATGTGTAAGTTTTTTGTAATAAACTTGTTTGATGCGTTGTCATTTTTGTACGTAAGGTTAACTATGGAAACTCCTGGATCTCGAGCTCTCGAAGCTGCTAAAAGTCTGAACGATTTGGTTATTTTTAAAAAACCAATTGGCGTTGCAAAGAAAAGTAAACAGATTCGTTCGAAAATTTTGGATGAAGATACATACATTGAAAAAATAGGCAAAATTATACAAAGAGATTTCTTTCCACATTTGGAAAAACTTCAAGCTCAGAATCAGTATTTGGATGCCTTGGAACAAAATGATGTGAAAAGAATGAGGGAACTTTATGAGAAATATAGTTCTGGTCGACCAGCTACGGAAAGACCTGCTAGTCCAGCTACTTTTGAAACTCCTGTACGTAAAGATGAGTCAGAAGATGAACATTTGAGATCTAGCAAAGCAACCAGAGATACGCCTTGTAAAACTGAGTCTAAAGAGAAAGATATTGAGAATAAAGTAGGCTTAGATGCCTTTTTAAGTATTAACACTAGCGAAGATAATGCAAGTTTTGAAGAAATGATGGTCGAAGCAGAGAGAAGACGCAAATTGAAATACGCATGGCTTTACGAAGCCGAAGAAAAATCTAACTTGCTCGCTATAGAAAGATCTCATAAGAATTCACTTGACGTTGGACAAGAAAACAAGAGGCAGCCTGTATTGGATACTTGGAATTACAGGAATAAAAATTATATTATGTATATACCTGATGGTGTAGAATTAACGGCAGATGAAAAGATAGATTTAGCAAAAGGGAAACAAATGGTAACGCACGAAAATACACGACTTAGAGTAAATCCGTTCAACGAACAACAGAATAAAGAAACTATTAACGAATTGGCGAAACATCAATCAAAAGTCAATGACGGTAAAATCGGTGTTGACGGAAAGGAAGTTGTGAAAAATGCTGCACCAACTGTCAACGGATACAGTTTTGTAGCTACTCCTAGCCCTCGACCAGGAGAATGCGAAAGTCCTTTGATGACATGGGGTGAAATCGAAGGAACTCCTTTTAGATTGGATGGCGGTGATACTCCATTATTGAGAACTAGTCAAGGTCCTTCCTTTAGGATGGCAGAACCGCCTAAAAGAGAACAAATAGCTTTACAATTAGCGGAAAAAGCTGGCGAACGACACAGAGATAGGAAGAATAAAGCACTGGAAGCAGCCAGAAAATCACTGGCAACGTAAGTATCCAAATAAAATCTGATCCAAATAAAGTTAAGTCAATCCAAATGTTATTGTTTGTTTATATGTTTTTTTCTTCTTTTTTGTCGATTTTAATAGGCCCTCTCCAAGATCGACCATCGATCGATTAAGCACAATGTCACCTGCAGCGAGAAGATTGGCAACTCAGAAACTTCGTATAGCGCATACTCCTTCGCCTCGAAGAGTTTCCTCATCGAGAACGCCGTCTATAGGTATTAGGACACCGACTACGCCTAGAGCAAACACCCCATTGAAACGTGACACAGATTCGTCGGAAAGAAGTAACGGTACTAGCCAAAGATCGCAAGGCCCTGTTCTAACGGATAATTTACTCAATTTACCACCACAAAGACAAAGAGCTTCTGATTTTTTTAATAAGTGAACAATAAATAAAAACACAACTGTGAGTTTAATTGCAAGTTTGTAAATAATTTTGCATACCGCAAACGTATGATATTACCATGAATCGAATTACCGTGAATCGAAAACATGCAAATGTTGTAAATACGAATGGATGTAAGAATAAAGTGATTGTGTAATAACTATTGTTATAAATTAATATTGTATATATATATAATAAGCAGTCAAATATAATGCGCTTTTAGTTTTCCAACGAATATAATGAATCTCTTTTTTAAACCCAAGTATCTCGTATTTCAACGACAGTTGATTTGACAATTTTTTGTTATTTTTTGTTATTCTTTGTTATTTTTGGATATTTTTCTGTTGGAAGGTTGTCGCAATAAATTATTCGGAATTGAATTTATTCGAATATGTCACGCTTCGTATTCTATGTTCGGTCACGCCTCATATTCTTCCTTACAACACGGAAATAATACACGATCCGACGATCCCTTGAACAACTGACACACATATACCGGAAGATATTAATAAGGATAAACAAAATAACGTTTATGACAACCGGAAATGTATATAGTTGTGAATAAAAAGAACAACAAGATGATGTGTAATGATGATGCGTAATGGTCAATCATTGCAACATTTTTTCTCTCGACTGCATGGAATTCTTATATAAATGAGAGAAAAAACTAAAGAATCGAGTATATGGAGCAAAAAAGACGTAATAATAATGTGGTCGACTTGGGTAAAGGGTATAACGTTATTACTCTTGATCTCTGCTGTCTTGGCTCAAACGGAACAAGAAGGATGCACTTGCGCTCGACTTGGACCAGGTATTTCAATATTTTACTTTCATCGCATAAAGTTGATATAAAATTGATTAATACATTGACGACGCGTATTAAATCATTAGGTAGTAATCCATGCACCTGTAACAATGTCATTGTCGAAGCTACCGAAGTGACCAAGCCTATACTGTATGCGTCTCCAGAAGAAATAAACGAAGCTGTGATCGTTCGCGAAGATGAAAGACCTGCATGTTCCGAAACGCAAACTAATACATTGAGTATCTTGGAAAATAGTATAAATGATGATACGATAAGTTCGAGCGATAATAGTTTTAGCTTGGACCTTTCCAAAAAACATCTTTCCTCCGAGTTAAGAACGGATATCGCTCAGACAGAACCAACGTCTCCGAATTCAAACGTTCAAATAGTACCTAAGTAGGTAAAACGATACATTAAACTTCCTTGTTTTCCTATACGAACGATTAATAATTGGAATGTTCTATCAACAGATTTTCGCCTGTCAATAGTCTCTGTAATCCGAGCAGATTATCGGCTATAATTTCGGGAACACGCGTTAAAGTCACTCCTGCATATCCCGCTAAAATGAAATGTTGTCAAGCTAATCCTTATCAAGCATGCATCAATTACATTTCGGGTATTCACGGTGATCCTTCAAGCGTGAAAACTCATATTGGAACTCCTATTGGATTGCCCCAATTTGGAATTGGAAGTTACGATACCTCTAGAATCATTTACGATCCTTCTAACGGAAATTCTCGATTGGAGACTGGAAGGGGCGATTACAGTACCTCTAGTATCAACCATGGCACTTCCATTCCTTTTGGATTGCCTCAATCGCAATTTGGAAGTTATGGTACCTCTAGCATCACGTACGATACACCTAATCCTTATCGAACTCCTAACATCGTTTCAGGTATTCATACTCCATTCGAAGATATACGTTATGGTAAGTAAAGGGGTTTTTTTTTTTTTTTTTTTTAAAGGAGAGTACTTTGATTCATCTATCAATACATTTATCATTTGACAGGAACTCCTTTGCAACGTCGATTAAAAGATCAATTACCAGCAGATCCTATATCGTTGGCATTAGCCTATCAAAATCTCGTAGCACCAAAGATATATTATAACAAAGGAAAGAAATCAGTATCGGAGGGAAGCTTATCGTTCGGACACAGAACATTGCCGATCGAATTGAAGAAAGAAAAGAAATTGATCGACGTACCCGAAGAAAAACTTGTAACCGTCGATAGACCCATCATGGAATTGAAACTTTCTCGGGCGAATTCTATAATGATCGGAGATGACGACGACGACGACGACGACGAAGAGAATGATACCTTTGCCGAGCTTGAAGCTATGGAACGAGAACATTTGAAACAGAGAGAACAACTCGATCGCGTGGCATCGAATTTTTTAAGTTACGGGTAAGAAAAAATACAATATAATACTTATAATAAAAATTGTCTTTTGTAATAATTAGATCGAATCCTTTTAGAGACGTAGGTTACCGGCCTATCGACGTAGACGCTGTCAAGCCAAACATTGCCATAAATGCACCCTCGTTAAACCTTCAAGGAGTAGATCAAAGAATCGTATCGAATGGAGAAGAAAATGGCATCGGCGGAAAATTAATCGGACCAAATATAGGATATAGATCAAAAGTAGGCTGTGGACCGAGTGGTCCACCTCTACCAGGCTACATACCAGGATCCGTAATAGTTCAACAGCAAATTGAAATGGAGGAACCACAAGAGAATGAGCAAATTGATATGGATTCTTACAACTACAACGTCGATAACGATGAAACTGACGAACAAGTCGAACGTAATTCAGGCTTGGGAATCATAGCTAGATTACGAAATGCGGCTCAAAAAAATAGAATATCGTCCTTGTGTTTCCATTGACATATCTATATTTTTTCCCTTTATTAACTTCGAATGTGTGAATGTATTGTGTCGAATGTATTGAAATAAAATGTTGTTTGTAATGTGTACAGAAATCTATTTTGATACTTGCGTACTTTACTCTTATTCCCAATCTCAAATTATAGAAAATAGTATATTTATGATGATACATATACTATATACCTATATGTATTTTCTATCACTTTAGTTAGAAAGTACTCTCACTCAGATATACTCTAGTAGATATATGTTTATATATAAATGAAAAGATGAATTTTAGTGATTTTCAAAGGACTGTTTAAGAGCCAAGCCGATTTGTAACGCGAGCGAACTCATCCACGAAGATCCTCCTCTCGTGTTTGCGTATATCGAAATTTATGGTCTGCCTTCGACTTCCTTAACCTAAAGCACGGCTGTCAACGCATCATAAAACGCTACGGCCGAGAAAAGGGAATCCGCGTGCTGGTTCGAGACCAGATGGCAGAACACGATGATTGTCTCGAAGGAAGCATAATGTATCTCTGAAAGAGAGAAAGAGAGAGAGAGAAAGAGAGAGAGGGAAAGAGAGAGAGGGAAAGAGACGAGCGTCTTTCTATTTAAAGAATATCCAAAGCTAGGCCCAGGGCATGACCTTACTGTGAGAATATTCTGCCTTTTTTTCTTTTCTCTTTTCTCTTTTCTCTTTTCTCTTTTCTCTTTTTCTTCGACCACGTAGACGAGGAACTTTACGATACCGTTCTTATACTGCGAGTAACATGATTTGTTTCATTTACATATGCTCCTGTAAATTGTCCTATCGTCATGGATAAATCACCGTTACTCGCGTGCAATAACATCTTCACATTTATATATTCCTTTAATTATGCATTCACTCTTTAATATTATATTATAAATGAAAATAATAATTATATTTCGACGTTGATAAGAACATAAAAGAAGAGAAAATAAACAAATGATCCTATATTGGAAATTACATAATTCTTTGTTCACTTTCATGCAAATATAAGCAAACATATTTAGTTGAAAATATATTTGCTATTTTCAGATTTTATTGTGAATTTGAATCACTTCAAATTCAATACAAATATAGTTATAATATCTTATTAAGTGCCATTTTTGATTATAAAATATGCGCCATCGCAAGATTGTATTGTAGAATTTTCAATGATAGCATTCAACATCTCCATTATTTTCGAAAGTTTTGAAAATATTTACATAAATTACATAAATACTTCTTGTAGAGGAAGTAGGACGATCACTCGCATAATTTCATGTCAAAGTATCAAATTCTCTCTCTCTCTCTCTTTGTTTAATGTGCAAATAAAATATTATCGTATGTATCTTTAGGGCGATATTTATGAAAATATATATAATAAATGACACGTAAGATGTGATATAAGAATTTGTTGATGATTGTCAATCCTTTGAATTGTCATAACAATCAAGAAATCTTAGCAAAACGCACGATATTTGATCATTTTTGATCTTTTATTATGAAGGAAGAACGTGCGTGCAAACAACGCGAATAAAGATAAGAGAGTAACGTGAGATAATTTGTAACAGGTTAATCTTGTTTCAATCGAGAATCGTAATGTTATTCATTGTTATGATTGATTATCTTTGATGTTGTTAAGATATCTCACGATGATCGTGTCAAATCTCGAGCTGAGTCGGTAATTCTTGGACTATATGAAGCGGTTCTTTTCTCTCCGAAAGCATACGAGTCTGCGATCGTTAAGCAAAATGTCTACAACACAGAAAGTCATTTTACCCTTTTCCTTTTTCTTCTTCCTTGTCTTCTTGTCTGTTTCGATTCGGACAACGTTTGCCGAGGAAAATCCGGATATCGTGAAATTTATGAAATCTTTTGAAGATGAGCAAGAGAACGAGAAACATTCTATCGAGAGCATGGATCTATCGGTACCACAGAGTATACTAATCGCTAAGGAAAAGGTTAAACCTTTTAAAGAAGAACAAGAGAAAATGATGGATATGTCGGATCGCGAGACCTTCCTTAACAAAAATAGCAAAGTAACGAATAATGACGAGGTAAGTGTGCCATTATATTTCATTATATTTTCTAATCGATCCAATTGTAAACCCAGCAAACATTTTGCTTTTACTTTTTATAGATTGACCGCACAGTTATGATGCAACAGTTAGAAGATCTAATATCGAAGCTAGCGCAACGTACGAACAAACAAGCTGCAGATACGGAAAATTTCACTGATCTCTATTCGGCCTCTTCGTCTACGAGCAAAACCGAAGAAAATGACAAATTATTCGAAAAAACGGACATTGTTACTCAAAACAGATTACCCAAGCGTCACATACAGTCTACCGATGATTGTTTTGCGACAGAAGTAGTTCCGACAAGAGCATTATTTCCAGTAAGAAAATTATTCCCAACATTAGTGTCACCATCAGTTGCACCATCAGTTGCATCATCAGCTGCATCGACAGCGGCATCCTCAGCGGCATCCTCAGCGGCATCCTCGGCGGCATCCTCAGCTGCGGCTACATCGGCAGCATCGTCAGCAGCATCCTCAGCTGCGGCTACATCGTCAGCGGCATCGTCAGCGGCATCGTCAGCGGCATCGTCAGCGGCATCGTCTGCGGCATCTTCAGCAACATCGACATCGACAACGACAACGACAACGGTTTCAGAAGTGGTATCGGAAGAGGTACCCGAAGTTATAGAAGAAGTGATACCAGAAGTGGAGGAAACGAGATCATTTAGCCTCCCAACGCCTATATCTATCGAAGTCTTGGAACAGACGGATTGTGCCGTTCAAGCGATTGAATTTGGACACCATAATATAATAGGTACAATAATCCATGAATTTTTATGCGAGGGCAAAAAGTTGATTAACTATTTGTTGCACGCATTTCTCAATTTGAAGAGTGAAATTTCTATTGGACCACAGATAAGTTTGTCAAAAGTTTACGATGGTTCTCATTTTATTGGATTCTTAGAACGTTTTCCTACGATACTGGAAGAATTATTGAAGGAACCACGACATTTGCTCGCCATACCCGAGATTATTAAATCTGCTATACCATTTAAAGCTATTGCTGAAATTGGCTTGAAGCTGTTCGCACTTTTTCTAGATCTCTTAGGAGAGTTACATAAAATTTTGTCTCCAATATTTCAAATCTTCCTTGATATTGGATTACAAGTTTTGACAGCTTTGGTAGATTTACTTAAAGGAATTTTCACAAATCCAATTACAAGTGGAACGATCATAAGTACTTTCACGGAGGATCCAATCTTTATGGATACAGCGAGATCTTTTTACGAAGGTTTCCAAGCATCTGGCATACGAGAAATATTTAAGAGTACAACATCAGTCTCGTCGTCGACTTCGTCGTCGGCTTCCTCGTCAGCTTCCTCGTCGGCTTCGTCGTCGGCTTCCTCGGCGGCTTCCTCGTCAGCTTCCTCGGCGGCTTCCTCGGCGGCTTCCTCGGCAGCTTCCTCGGCAGCTTCCTCGGCGGCTTCCTCGGCAGCTTCCTCGGCAGCTTCCTCCTCATCGGCTTCCTCATCTCCGATACCGAGTACGACTTCGTTAGTAGAAGAAACAATAGTACCTGAGGTGTCGCTACCATCGGAAACTATTGTTGAGATGGAACGAACGGTTGCACCCATTGAGGAAATATCTAGTACTATTGTTACTGAGCCAGAAGTCTTAATAGAGGAAGTTCCATTAACGGCAACAACAACAACGATAGACACWTCCAACGTAGAATCTTTTCCGGAGAGTTTGTCAGCTTATTTCAAACCATCCTTTATATCGTGGATAAAACCAATGTTCTCCAAAATTTCAAGCGGAACCGAAGACTTGACTGAAGTTACTTTCTCGCCTACGAGATCGCATAAATATCATAATCATCATCATCGTCATCACTATCATCCCTCAGAGGATACTACTTCTTCTTTCTCATCTGAAACCTTGGTAAGGAACATTGAGCCAGTAATTTCCTCTGTTTCACCTGCTGCAATTGCACCTCGTATAATAAACCTTCTGCCAAAACCGAGCACAAGTTCTGCTGCTACTGCTACTTCATCGTCAGCATCTTCGGCAGCTTCGGCAGCTTCGGCAGCTTCGGCAGCTTCGGCAGCTTCTCCAGAAATCTCTTTGAGTGGTGTTAAAAATTTACCCTTGAGGTTTATGTGGCCTGTCACTTTACCCAGAGAAAAAGTGATCGCTGCTATTGGTAATAGGAAACTTACACCGGGTGACGTCGTTCTCCTAAACATGAATCCGAAGAAAACTTTCTATAGTCGTATCGTAGATACAGTCAGTCCACTTGCTTTTTATTCTCTTCAATCAAATATGGTTCCAGAAGTTCTCAATACTTTTGGAAATATCTGGAGAGTCGTACCAGGAGATTTTACCGACATTAATTGCGAATCTCTTTTCAGTAATGCATATTAATCGAATTTATCCAGTAAATAGAAATATTGTCAATCTGTTGATATCCCCCGTATAATGGAATAAATAAAGATTTATTTTTTCATCATACATTGTATGTCCTTATTTTTTCTTCTAACTAATCCTTTTCTACTTGTATTTTGTTCAACTTAACATTTTCAACATGGGTACCTACATACTTTCAACAAATTATAATTTATTCATTCGACAAAATGGCAAACAATCAAATGTGTTACGATAAGAACTTGTCCATTCTGTTTACGATTTTTAATAGATGAAACACCTGTTATTATTGAAAAGATGACTTGTTTTACGTAATCGTTTTTACCTATATTTTAATATATTCGACGATGTTCGTCAGATATCATATCATATCATATCATATCAATATATATATATATATAGATACTTGTAAATAAAAAGTCGCACTTTCTTTATTTCATAAATTGTGGAGAAGCGATGATTCAAATAACAAAGCTATTTTATTTTGCGTATTTAGCTTGTGTCAATTTCATACGCTCGAATAATTCGACAAAGTTACAATAACGTTGTTGAATTTTCGATAGATTAAACACAAGTGTTACAAATCAAGGCTAAGTATACAAGACAAGAATGATAATCAATGAAATGTGTGTCGATATTATGTTAAATACGCGCATAATTAGTAAAATAGGTAGGTATATAAGAAGTGCGATGTTAAAGATATAATCGTTATACCATTTGAAGGAGTGTCTGATCAGGAATCATGAGACGCGCCGTTTTCTTAACGGTTATCTTGGCATCTGCCATCTTGGCGTTTGTAAGGGTAAGCACATTTTAATTATACAATTTGGACAATTATACATTGAGGACATTCTGCTGCTCATTGCTATCTATACAATTCTCTATATTCTATAATATTTTATAATATTCGATAATATTGTTGTTGATTATGATAGGCAAGTCCCCTACCGAAAAACCAAGATGATACACCGGTTGATAAATTTCAAAATGAATTGGAGGAAATATGGAAAAATGTAAGGAGTACGATGGACAACAAGTATAATGAATTGTTGGAGGATCCCACGGTCAGCGCGTCCTTTTTAAATACCTTTAACGAATTGATCGAAGAAGTCAACAAAGCGAACGAAGAAATAATTGACAATGCCAAAAATCAGGTCAATAATATCTTGAAGGTATGATGAAGCATACAATTGAAAATAAAAAATATCTATAATCCTACATCTACACATCCTCTTTTCTTGGACTTGTTTCTCATTAGTCTAACGGTCAAGAAGACAGCAATGTTAATAGTTCACAAGATTTTGTATTGGACTCTTGGTATGCATTTCAAGAAAGAATGTGGGACCAATACGAAAAGTGCATGGAAAATCCCAAAGTGCAAGCAGTTGTTCGGAAAATCGAAAATGCGATGAGAACGAGCAGAGATATCTTGCAAGTAGTTGTCGAAGATACTCGCGCGCGAATAAATGCTGAAAAGGTATAATTCATAATATTTATGAATATATATTAACATTTATTTACTTTTGTTTACATTTCCATTTAATTAGTCCAAAAATGCCGTTCAAGACGTAGAATCTGAAGGTAATAGTTTTTTGGAAAAGGCACAAGAAACTTGGAAACAATTTAGGCACAACGTAAGAGAAAAATACGATAAATATGCCAATAATCCGAAGGCCAAAGAAATCGTTGAGAAATTGAACAAGGCATTGGACAAGACCAAAGAGTCCCTAAAGAATATTATATCTTCTATTACAAAAGAAGACGTTACGGATTCCAAAGTATGTATTTTGGAATGTATCATTTGGTTTTTTTCAAATAACCTAATATTTGTTTATTACAGTCGTACAGTTTGGAAGCAATACCAGAACCATTGGTTGCTGGTTTCAAACAAAGAGTCCAGGAAGTTTGGAAAGACCTGAAGGATAATCTACAGGAGAAAGCCAAGGCCATTTGGAACAACCCTAAGGTAAAAGAAGTCGTCGAGAAAGGTGAAAAAGTGGCCGAAGAGGCTAAGAAGGCTCTAAGAGATGTCGTTGAGAATGTTCGTAATGAAATCGATAGAATTTCCAAGGTACTTATTATTGAATTATATAACTAATCTTTACGACAAGCATCCTATTCGATTAAATAATATACAAATATTATACTGATTTTACTAATACAAGGAAGTTGAACAAATAAAAGACAATGTCGACACAACTAGTTTGAAAGATAAAGTACAACAAGCATGGAATGATTTCAAGAAAAAAGTTGAGGAAAAGTCTGAAGAAGTTAAGAACAATCCTAACGTAAAAGAAATCATCGAAGCAACTGATAAAGCTATCGAAGATGCTAAAGGCAACGTCAAGGCAATCATCGACGCAGTTCAACAAGCAATCGACAGTATTTCCAAGGTATGTACTTACGAAACAACTAATCTAAATGAAAATGAAACTTAACGTAACGTGGATTGTTATACCAATTGTACAAATACAAGGAAGCTGAAAAGGTTAAAAAAAATGCTGATACAACTAGTTTGAAAGATAAAGTAGAACAAGCGTGGAATGATTTCAAGAAAAAAGTTGAGGAAAAGTCTGAAGAAGTTAAGAACAATCCTAAAGTAAAAGAAATCATCGAAGCAACTGACAAGGCGATCGAAGATGCTAAAGGCAATTTCAAGGCAATCATCGATGCAGTTCAAAAAGCAATCGACAGTGTTTCCAAGGTATGTATTTGCGAAATAACTAATCTAAATGAAAATGAAAATTAACGTAACGTGGATTCTTATACTATTTATAATAATACAAGGAAGCTGAAAAGGTCAAAAAAAATGCTGATACAACTAGTTTGAAAGATAAAGTAGAACAAGCGTGGAATGATTTCAAGAAAAAAGTTGAGGAAAAATCTGAAGAAGTTAAAAACAATCCTAAAGTAAAAGAAATCATTGAAGCAACTGACAAGGCGATCGAAGATGCTAAAGGTGACGTCAAGGCAATCATCGACGCAGTTCATAAAGCAATCGAAAGTATTTCCAAGGTATGTATTTACCAAATAACAAATCTAAATGAAAATGAAACTTAACGTAACGTGGATTCTTATACTATTTATAATAATACAAGGAAGCTGAACAAATAAAAGACAATGTCGACACAATTAGTTGGAAAGAAAAAATAGTAAAAACTTGGGAGGACTTTAAGAAAAAAGTTGAGGAAAAATCTGAAGAAGTTAAAAACAATCCTAAAGTAAAAGAAATCATTGAAGCAACTGATAAAGCTATCGAAGATGCTAAAGGTGACGTCAAGGCAATCATCGACGCAGTTCATAAAGCAATCGAAAGTATTTCCAAGGTATGTATTTAGAAAATAAGTACACTATTCGATTAAATAATATACCTACAAGTATTATATACCAATGTTACTAATACAAGGAAGGTGAAAAGGTAGAAGAAAATGCCGACGCAACTAGTTGGAAAGAAAAAGTCAAAGGAGCTTGGAATGATTTCAAAAAAAAAGTTGACCAAAAGTCTGAGGAAATAAAGAACAATCCTAAAGTAAAAGAAATCATCGAAGCAACTGATAAAGCAATCGAAAATGCTAAAGGAGAAGCCAAGGAAATCGTCGATGCTGTTCATAAGGCAATCGATAATATTTCCATTGTATGTATTCAACACATACAAAAGTCAACACATAAAATGTATCAATAGGGAGTACTTATTGAATTCATTCAATTTTGTTTTTCTTTTCATTATTACTAATCGAAGAGAAGTTATGAAGTGCTAGCAGAACCTGCAGGCCATGATAGCGTGAAGGAAAAACTAGAGAAAGCGTGGAACAATTTCAAGAAGATCATTGCGGATAAAGTAGATGAAATTATTCGAGACCCTAAGACCAAAGAAATCCTTGATAAAAGTGAAAAAGTAATTAACGAAGCTCATGAAAATGCGAAAAATATCATTGAATCTATTCGTAAAGCGGCCGATGAGTCTTCCAAGGTAGGCATAGAAAATTAATTATCCGTGCATTACTTGGCTTGCATTACTTGGCTTGCATTTATTTTTCTTTCCTTTTATTCCATTATTATTCATTAAAGAATACTGACGAGAATTCGGCTAAATCTGTAGCTAATATTTATGTAAGTAACGTAAAAGAAGCGTGGGAGTCGTTCAAGAGAAAAATTGCGGCGACGTATAACAATGTATGGGAAAAACAAAAAGTTAAAACTGCCATAGATGATGGCGAACGTACTCTTTTGAGAATCCAAGATAGTGCCCAAGACGTTGTCGATGCTATTCGTAGAGAACTTGAAAAAAGTCACGATAATAGTCAATAAAATATTTGTGATCCCATTTATACACCTACATTTCATATTGTATCGTTTCAATAATGTTATTTTCAAATATGGACTTAATTCTAAAAATGTGTACTCATTCCTAAAAAGTTAAAAAATAAATGTTAACTATTATTTTCATCCAATAATGTTTATTTTTATTGAAAGCGTCAAAAAGTTATTTTTCGTTTCGTTGAAGCGCCGTTCCAAAACTCTTCTATTTGGATAAGATTATTGTGTAAGACTCGTCGCATCTCGATATCGTGACCATATTTTCTAATATTACCAACATTTTCATTTCGAATGAATATAATATACTACGAACAATCGTAGTATATGGTCTCGGGGTCAAGGTTCTTCTAAAGAAGAAGAAGAAGAAGAAGAAGAAGAAGAAGATAAATGAGAATGCCAAGCACACTTGTGCAGATTCACGTGAGGGAAAAATACAACTAACAGAATCGTTTGAAAATTACATAAGTCAAAGCTCCAGGAACTAAATTATCTCGTTTGATAAAATGAGACGAGTCAATGAAGATTTTTCCGTGGAACCTTGTTCTCAAAGAATGTTGTCCACCGAATGTTGTTCACCCGAGTACACTTTACTTTCTTGATGTGTGATAGAAATCCGTGATAGAAAAAAATGGAAATATTTGACGAGATAATTAATACTTAGAATCACGAAAGGAACAACGACAAAAAGAAAAAACATATTATATTCCAAATTGGAATATTAAGAATTGAAATCGAAGATTATCATATTTTTTCTCTCTCTCTCTCTCTCGCTCTCTCTCTCTCCCTTGCTCCCTCCTCTCATAGATATCTCACATCAGACAAATATGAAAATATCGTCTTCTCGTCCGGTTAAAAGAAGAAAAAGAAGATAAAGAGCAATCTTTGGCCTCGTGTAACAGCATTAATAGATGATAAGGATCGCCTATAAAGGGAGCAATACCAAAAGCTCGCGCATCAGTCGTTCTCTAGTCATTTCAGAGTTGAAATTATTCGACGGAATCAAAGGAAAGTAGGAAAAGAGGACAAAAATATCATCGAAAATGAAGAGCACGTTGTTGATCGTTTTAACAGTAATGTTCGTTTACATCGAGGCTAAAGCAGTACCATCTGGCAATGTCGAAACTCAAGCAACGTCTAATAAACCTTTACAATTGTCAGAATTAATTAGTCAAGCACAAGCAAATATCAATAGTTTTACAGCTGAGCTACAAGAAAAAATGAATCTACCTGATCAACAAACCGTCGTCAACACCATCAAAGAGCAGAGCACAAATTTCGTCAGTAATTTACAGGAATTCATGAAAAATGTGACCGAACAGGTAAGAAGAAGAGTTTGTGTGTTTTTTTTATCATACCAAATGTAAAGAAAAATGCATTTTTTCATTTCAATTAGAGTTGAAATTGTACACGCCAAAAATGATATATATTATTTAAGGGAACTATCCATTAAACTTTCCCTATCTCTGATAACGTCCCGAACGAAGGATGAGGAAGATAAAAAATGTTAAGTTCGAGAAGCCGGCCAAGAAATAGTATTTCTTCGAATATCCTAAGAAAATATATTATTAAATGAATGAAATAAAACATGTTTTCTTTCAACTCTTCGTTCGTTCCTTTTCTCTTACAATTAGATTATTATCGATAATCTAAGTCGATCTAAGTCGCTAAATGTAGGACTAAATATAATCGTAGAAAAAATCAACTTTGTGTAACAGGTTAAAGAGAAGAGTCCAGAATTTGAAAGCTTATGGACCGACGTGAAGGGCAAACTAAATAAGGTAGTCGACGACATCAATGCTCAAATTCCAGATGCGCGTGAACAAGTCAATCAATTACAAGCCAAGTTACAAGAGGGATTGCAAACCGTTTTACAAGAATCTGATAAAACGGCCAAAGCTGTTAGCCAAAATTCGCAGAAAGTACAAGAAGAGATTGGCAAATTTACGAAGCAAGCTGTTGAACTTGCAGTCGAAACCACGCAAAATCTAAACAATCAATTGAAACAAGCAGCGAAAACCAATTAAATCAATCAAATAATCATTTTCAATTGGATCAATTTTTATTTACGAATTAACTAATTACAATTAACTCGCACAGTATCGCAGTCTCGATAAAAGTGACAAGAAAAAATGCTGACGCGAGTTATGACGAAAGATCACTTTTGTATTTGAAAAAAAGAAAAAAAAGAAATGAATAAAGGCAAATATGTTTTTCTATATAAAACGAACGTATCGTGATAACTTTTTTCCTCTCACATTTCTACTTTTTCTAATTATCTTCATTGCATCATCTATTGAAATTGCCAACGTAATATTTCTTATACATTTGTTAACATATTTTAATAGATAAATATAAATATTAAATAGAGAGAATTATTATAGGCAATTAGAAGGAACATTATTCGTGAATCATTTCGATAACATCTACTTGTAGGAAAAACTTGGTCCTACTTATTTCCTATTTCTATGATATTAACTAATATTTATCGTGTAAAATATGTAATAAAAAATTGATTATCAATTATTATTATTATTATATCGACTTCATGTTGAATTTATTTTATCTGATTATTTTGTCTCTGACTTTTATAATTGCGTAAGTTTAATGAAATTTATTTTGCTTTATCGGCACATTCTATTCTTTTTTTTTTTCTTTCTATATATTTCACAAATATAAACTGTATTGCAAACTGTATGGTAAACTGTATTCGATATAATGATTTCTTTTTTTAAACTAATTATAATATAACTTGTAAAAGATTTAATATATAATATACATACCCCTGTAACCTAAATTAATCGAATTAAATTGTCAATCGTTTCATAACTTTCAATGTAACAATTTGCAAAGGTTTTATGAAAAATGATGTCGGTCACTTGATTTCATTTCGTTCTTAGTCGCTACTTCGTAACGTCGACAGATTTTCTGCGCGTTTATCGTTTATTTTGATAAGTGTTTATTATTTGAAAAAGAACAAGAAAAAGAACAAGAAAAAGAAGATAATAGAAAAATAGTAAAAAAGCGTATAGCAATATTTCATAACGTTTATCATCGAACAAAATGAAATCGTGTATTTTCCTTTTCTCCTTACTCGTGGTAAGTTCAATCTATTTCGTTCAGACCTATTCAATTACGGAATACAATGTTTCTTTTTCTTTTTTATCCAATAGATATCTTTGGCAATAACTCAAGATAGGCTTAATAAAAAATCTAAAAAGTCATTGCAAAGACTTCAGGATTTTCCTCAGCAAAATGGAATCCCTGCGAAAAAAAAAGAAAATTATTCAAAGGATGGAAGGAGCGATAAAATAAACAAAGGATTTGAAAAAGTGATCGATTTCGTTAACGTCATGGAACAACTAGATGATTTCATTTCTGGCCGAGCGAAGAATATCATTCGAAAACTTCATCAATTATATAATTCGGACGAAAATGACTCTCTATTAACTTAATTTTCCATTCATTTGTTTACGTTCCATTACAAATCTCTGTTTTTCTAAAGATGACATTTTTCCAAGAAAAAATTATCATGAAAGACTGTAGGCTACCATTGATAAAAAGTTGAAAGAGTAAACATTTTAATAAAAAAATTATTCGATATTATATAACTGTGTAATATTTACAAGAGATGCGTCCAAATAAATGAAGAAGAAATTTCATTTAATCCAATATTATCCTGTTCACTACTTACGAATATTACGAATTACAAATGGCACTTGTCGCGCCATCTACAGTCAGGGGGGAAAAGATATGTTATCATTATCTAATCAAAATTGCATGTTATGTAACATATTTTGTTCAATTAAAAACAATAATCTCATCATGATGTCGCATAATGAAAGTACATGAAAGATACAATAGCTGAAAAGAAAAGTCGTTTGGAAATATGTAGAAATTGTTTGGAAAAACACGGCCCGCGATTGGTCGTTGAAACATGCCGTAAATATAAGAAAATAGAAGATAACATTACTCGCCAGGTGGCGACTGTGTCCAGTCAATCGCACCGGGATCGGGTAGATCGGAAAAATCGGGTAGTTTGTTCTAGATTTATTTTCTAAAAGAAAGAAGTAGAAATATTAGGAATCTAAAACCCTCCTCTCCTCTCCTCTCTGTCCATTTGTACCTTCTCTCTCTTTCTCTCTCTTTCTCTCTCTCTCTCTCTCTCTCTCTTTGTCTCTCTGTCTTTGTCTAGCAACGTTGTTATAGACCATAGACTCGTGTCGTGTCGAAGGATTCATTCCATGCGGAAGCTAGTTACGTCACTTAGAAGCAAGAAAAATATCGTGTGTCCAGCAGCAGCAGCAGCAGCAAGTTGTATCATCTCCCCCACGTACCACCAATCTTCGTAGTTCCTTTGGTCGCGTGCTTGGCTCATCTGTCAAGCTGCACAACGTTGTCGTGCGCGCACGCGTTCCTTTTTAACGAACCGAATGTGCGATACCAAGACTTTCAGCATAACCTAAAAGCAAGCTTATTACGAATGTATTAGTAGTTATTTCGGCCAGGACGGCCTCTTGTAAATTTCACTCTTAGAGAATCTCGAGAAATTCGAAAAAAGACGTATATAAAGAGGAATATTCAAAGCTCCTCAATATTCAACATTAACCGGCAGCGTCACGTTTTTCTCTTTTCCAATATTATTTCTCTCTATCTTTATTTTTCCCTTTTCTTTTTCTTTTTCTTTGATCTCTTTTTCTTCTCATCTTTCCCGCTTTCTCCCTTTCCGCCATCCTTTCTTGCTTTCTCTTTCTCTCTTTTTTCTCTATTTTCTCTTTTTTCTCTTTTTTTTTTCCATTTAATGAGAAACTACAGACAACATTTCTTTCCACGCTAAAATATTATTGGATAATTAGTGAAAATTCCTCTAACAAACACGTATTTTCACATACATACACGTGTATATACGTGTATAGATCGAAAAAGAAGGATCAGGATCTCATATAATCGGCGCCAGAGAAAACATCGACCAACGACTAACAAAAATGAATAGCAAGAGAAAAATTCGTTCCAATCCTACTAGGTATTGTTAACAATGACTATTTTGTCCTTGTTCCTTTTTTCTTGTTCTTTCTCTCTCTCTCTCTCTCTCTCTCTCTCTCTCTCTTTGTCTTCCTATGTTTGGTCTTTTAATGTAAAGATAAAAATTAGACAATATTTGTTGTTGTTGTTGTTGTTGTTGTTAGGTCGCCAAGAGCAAGGGGGCCACAAGATAGATATGTGGCAGCTGAAGGTGTTTACAGCAATGCAGCATTCATGCATGCTATCACTCAACATGTTGGTAATACGGTTGAGGTATTTAACAACTCATTTCTTTCATTTATTATTGCCACAAAAGTATACATAAAAGTAATATAAACTTTCCTTCCTACATTGGTTGATACACTTGCAACATTTCCATGCAAATTCTTTTTTATCAAATGATGTTGACTGTTGAATGTGAAATACTGTTGTAGATTCAGACACAAAATGGTTCGGTATATGAAGGAATTTTTCGAACTTTCTCCTCTAATTTTGAGGTGGTCTTAGAGATGGCACATCGAGTAGACAGTTCAGGAAAGATCAATGTTGACAGTGTGGTTGAAAAATTAATTTTTAAGCCATCCGATATAATTACAATATCGGCCAAAAATGTCGATTTAGACTATGCTATAAGAGACACTTTCCAAACAGACACTGCTATTAGTAAATTTAATGGTATAGTTGGAGAAAAAGAACTCGAGCCATGGGATGCGCCGTCCACTATGAACGGAGACGACTTGGAATTAGATGGTGCTGCTGTGAGTTTTTTTTCTTCTTTTTTTTTTCATTAATTTTACATTCAAAATAATATTTTTGTCAAGTTACATCAAGTTATCATCATATTTCCAGAATGGGTGGGACGTAAACGAAATGTTCCGCAAGAATGAACAAAAGTATGGCGTTCAAACGACATTTGAGCCATCGTTAGTCGGTTATACTTTCCAGCTTCAACGTAAGGATACAAAAGACTATAAAGAGCAGGAGCAGAAAGCAGCTGAAATAGCTAATGAGATAGAATCTCAGCCAAATCATAAAGCAAGATTAGAACTAGAGAATGGCGATGAAGAAGAAAGATTTGCGTCCGTTGTAAATATTATTATATTTATATAGAAATTTTCATGAATTTCAACAATCTTACATGAAACTGCAACATTTATCTTATATCATTTCTAATGTTGCTAGATAAGGCCAAATGAAGGTAAATACGTTCCACCTCCTCTGAAAAAGAAAAATTGGGATACCGGGAAATTAATAAGATCTACACCACCACCTTCGTCACCAGGATCTGCAAGTAGCAAATCTTCATTTAATCAAGCACCATCGTCAAATGTCAATGTATCGCCTAACGTCTCAGTTGGCCTCCAAGCTTCCCATAACTCGGTGCAACATCCAGTACCTCTTAACATGACAATGCCACCGACTGGAGTAGTTGTTCATGCTACTTACAACACTCCGCCGCCATTTGTATCTCCGACAACACAAGCATCTTCTGCAGGTACACTATTTTTATTATCTCATATATGTGATTCTCTGTGTAGTAAGATAGACACCTTTATAACCAAATATTTTGTCGATTTAGCAATGCAGCAAACCTCGTCGCAATCTCAGACTACTCCTACAATTCCCCAAGCTACTTACTCTCAACAGTCCCAACAAACATCGCCGCAGCAACAACAACAACAACAACAACACCAACAACAACAGCCGCAGCAGCAGCAACAACAACAACAACAGCAGCAGCAGCAGCAGCAACAACAGCAGCCACAACAACAACAACCCCAACAACAACAACAGCCTTCCAATAAAATAAATTCAGAAAAGCGTGAACGTCCAGGCAGACAACAGGTGTTTCAAGCGGATAAAGCTCCACCTGCTCCCTTTTCACAGCCAAATGTTATTATATCTTCTCATCAACAGCAACAAACAGTAGGACATCAACAAAATGCTACAGACATTCAACGTATTGAAATAATTCCTCATAAATCAGATCATAGAAAGGTTTGTCAATAAATAATTTTCTCAAGATTCTTAAACTAATTGTAGATTAAGGATAATTTATTTATGCAATTTCAGATCCCACCGCCAAGAAGTCGGGAAGAACAACATTCAGAACTAAGACAGTTTTCGACAGATTTTAAATTAACAGATTCAACTAATCAGGAAACATCATCTATTCCTCGTAAACAACAACAGCAACATCATAACCAAGATTCTCATCCCACACCACAAATTTCTCAACAACATCATCAACCTCATAATGTATCTCCACCACAGCATACTAGCCCACATCAGCAACATCAAACAGCTCAAGAAGAGTCTGTGGTTGTTACTACTAAACCACCACCGGGACCGTTACCTATACGATCTACAAGCCCGCCACAAGCTCAACAACAACAGCAACAACAACAACAGCAGCAGCAGCAGCAGCAACAGCAACCACAACAGCAACCACAACAGCAGCCGCAACCGCAACCACAACAAAATTCTTCTATTGTACAATCAAATGTACAAGAACCAGCAGTTGAAAAAATAACGAATGCTTTTAAAAAATCTACTTTAAATCCTAATGCTAAGGAATTTAATCCCAATGCTAAGCCCTTTACACCTGTAAGTATATATATATATATATATGTATATATGAATGTGATGTAAAAAGTGAATGTCAAACAATTACACTGATTCATTAATTATTTGTAGCGATCTCCTAGTACGCCAACACCTAGCCGACCTCACACGCCACAAACACCACAGTTTACGGGTGCTACTATGCCAGCAACTGTTGTTATGCCTGCATATGTTATGACAAGTCAACCGCCAACTGCATTCAGTCAACCACCAGCACAATCTGTAACTAGATTTAGAAAAGGTGAGCAGATACATATAAGATAGATAGATAGATAGATAGTAAGAACAATAATTGTTATTAAAATAACAAATCTAATAGATTTAATGTTTCTAGTGCCAATGATGCAACATCGAGCCCCAGATATAGCATCTCAAATGCAAGTAGCTGCAGCAACTGGACAACCGTTATTAGCACCAGCTCCGTTACACCCACCATTCCAGGTGTCTTATCCAGGTCAACCAACTTATCAACAAATGGTACGAATGGTACAGGCGCCACCGCCACCACCACACATGTCAACGAACCCTTACCATCATCATCATGATTCACCAGGGCCGCAAGCTCCTGGTATTCAATACATGGGTCCGCACACGCACCCGCATCCACATGTCCCTCAACAGCCACCAAGTCAAACACCTTCTCCGGCTAATCCCAATCCACCGCATACGCAAAGCGCATACAATCCTCCTGGAACACCACAACCTACGTATCCGCAACCACCTCCACAAGGACATGCTCCAAGTTATCCTATTATGTGTCCTATCATTCCACAACACTTGCCGATACCTCCACAACATATGCAATATTTACCCCCTCAACCTCCGCCGGGAGCCCAACAAACAATACCAGTTATTTTGCCGCACAATCAGTAGCTATTACCATAAATAAACAATGAAAAAGATGATGGTTACTAGTATTCTATGAAGATAGAATAAGATTTGTAAGTCCAAGAAACTTTCATAATGGTAGTACCTAACACTTTAATATGTTGCTATTATCATCAACTTTTGTAGTTACGTTATCATCATGTCGTTTTTGGTAAAAGAATTAACTTAAACGTCGTACGTACGAACAATCAGAATATTCTTTTACTTACAATTAGTTTAATTTGTTACATTATTATTAATCTTTGACTATTTTTATGATAAATATTAAAAGGAAAGAAATAAGATGATATTCATATGATATTGTTCTTGCTACGATTATAATTGTAATTCACGTAGGTGAAGATTTAAAAGCGTATATAGAAAGAAAGAAAGAAAGAAAGAAAGAAAGAAAGAAAGAAAAAAAGAAAAACATAGAAAAAGTGTGTGTCGACCGTTTTGAAAGTGATTCATTTCGTTGGAAAAATATGGATTATTTCTAAAGTAATACCATATTTATTATATTTAAGACTCTCGAGCGTACTCTATCAATTTCTTCATTGGCTATTAGATATAATTTAAATAATAATAATAATAATAATAATATCTCTTTATCGAATCAACATAACTAATTATTTCATTTGATTATTAATTCTTGCAATTCTTGCAAGGAAGGAAAAGAAAATGATGACGATTAATCTCGGTAATAATATAATACGAAAAATATACATTTTGATGCAATGGTTATTCGAATCGAATAAAATCGACGATTTATCTTTAGAATATTGTAAAAATCTAAAGCTGCTGCTTTAGTACGAATGGTGTCGTATATAATTGAAGTATTTTTTTTATACAAAGAGAAGAAGATAAATAAATAAAATAAATGTGTCGCGAGCAATTGCTTAGATGCACGTGAAAGTACACGGGATATTTTCTTACTTTACGGTACGTTCACGTCGTCACGTCGTAATATGCACACATTGTGTAATATGCAAAAGAAGCACGAAGAAGAATCTTTACATGCGAATAATAAAATATTTAAAGTACAATCAATTTAACGTCAAAAAAAAAAAAGAAAAAGAAAAAGAAAAAAAAAAGAAGAGTACCTCGACAATGCAACATGTCGCAAGATTCATTAAACAAATGAGAGGAGAAGGCTACATCTATAAACTTGTAAATGCGTACAAGCAAGACAAAGATGTATTTGACGCGTAGTATTGTTAAAGATAGTATTAATGTCAATGCGACAAGATTACTAAATGAAATAAAAAAAAAAGAGGAAAGAAGGGACTTTATTATTCTTAAAGTCGTGTTTGATTTAAGAAACGAATTGAACAATTCGTCAAAATGAAGAAACAAATGATACAAGAGTGCTATTTTATCAAGAACTTTGATGATGGCTTTATTGCTAACGAGAAAGATTATAAATCGCCTTTTTTCCTTATTATATCGAATAGAACAAAGATAGACAGATTTAATTCGCTCTTATGTAATATCATTCGAATGTTAAATAAGTTCATCCAAATAATGATGTCCATCGTGTGATAATAATTTAGAAATTATAATGGCAATGATAACGACGATGCTGTTGCTGCTGCAGCTGCTGTTGCTGTTGCTCTTGGTATCGTTGTTATTGTTGCTATTGCTGTTGCTGTTGCTATTGCTGTTATTGATTTTTTCATGTTATTTTTTTTTTTTTTTTTTAAATTAATCTCCTCTATGTTGTACACGTGAAACGTATTTTTTCATTGTTGTTTATTTTTTTATATCAATTTCATTGTAATGTACATTGAATTGAAGTTTTGTTTTTAATTAAAAAGTATTGCATGATAAGTATGTGCGATGTATGTATGATTTTATAAAGATTCGAGAAAAAGAGCTGAAGAAAAGAAAATGAGAATATAAAATAATAATAATAGTAATAATAATAATAATAATAATATCTTCTTCAAATTGAATATTAAAATATAGATTATGTTTAAATGAATGACAGCAATCTGTTGGCAACTATAATATACACGAATGCTCTAATAAACAATGAAAAGAAGAAGAAGAAGAAGAAGCAAAGCGATTATGTATAAGTAAAAATATTAATAATGATGATGATGATGATGATGATGACGATGATAAAAAAATGATGGATCGATCGATCGATTGATTGATTGATTGATTGATTAATTGTGCATTATTCAACAGAGAGTCATGCATATGCAATTTGTTATTAAAGGAAAGATAAATACTACGGCCTTAGACCTAGTCGTGTGTATATAAAAGTAAACAAGGTGAGCCTCGATCGAAAGATAATACAGAGTCCGGCATCGTTAGACACAAATTTTATATCGAAGAGATTTAAAAATGCATCAAAATAAAGTCAATGCGTTAAAAACTGAAAAATGTGCTCACATTAATACCCTTCCTAATCTACCCTTCCTAACCTAGCCTGACTAACCTTAGAGATTTATCGATATAGAAATTATTTTGACCAACTAATCGATTATAAGTATATCGACGTTTCTCGTATCCCGCCCCGCCGTATGCCGCATGTACGATCGAACATAACCTTCATAGAGAGAGAGAGAATGTGTTTATATGAATTAGTATGAAAGATTATTTAGCAAAAGTATTTATAGAATAAATATGGAAACGCAAAATTGGAAAGAGTTGGATGTTGCTTTGAGCAAGCCTGTATTAGAAACCCTGGAAGAATTGAAATTTCAAACAATGACTCCTGTTCAAGTAAGATATTTGTCTTCTTTACTTTTCATTTCTATACACATTTGATTATCAAAATAATGGTCTTGATTATATTTGTAGGCAGCCTGTATACCTCTCCTTTTAAAAGGAAAAGATGTTGCCGCAGAAGCAGTAACGGGCAGTGGCAAGACTCTTGCTTTTCTTATTCCTCTATTGGAAATATTACAAGTATGTATTTAGATAAATGAATTATTTCGATAGATTAGATGATTTCATTTAGAAATCAATTTCTAGAGACGAGCGGACAAATGGAAAAGTACAGAAATAGGAGCTGTAATAATAACACCGACCAGAGAATTAGCTGTTCAAATTAGCGAAGTATTGGGCAACTTTTTAAAGAAACTGTCATTATTAAAACAAGTTATACTTGTTGGTGGTACAACTATTAACGAAGATGTAGAAAAATTAAAGGATGGTGCCAATATTATCATAGCAACTCCTGGTAGACTGGAAGATATGCTTTCTAATTGTAAAAGTATCAATTTAACTAAGCGCTTCAAATCTTTGGTAATAAAACGTTGCTATTGTATAATAATACTACAAGTATTATTTTCTTACGATTGAATCTATCTATCTTTTTAGGAAATATTAGTTTTAGATGAAGCCGATAGATTACTCGACTTGGGTTTCTCTAAAACATTAGACACCATATTAAGTTATTTACCACGTTTAAGAAGAACAGGTCTATTTTCTGCTACTCAAACTAAAGAATTGCAACAATTAATCCGAGCGGGTTTAAGAAATCCAGCTTTTGTTTCTGTCAAGGAGAAAGCTAATATATCGACGCCTTCGAGCTTAACAAATAATTATATAGTGGTACAAGCTGAAAATAAGTTAGCAACGATGATGAGTTTCATTCAAGAAAAAGGATCTCACTTGAAATATATGATTTTTCTATCTACCTGTGCGTGCGTTGATTATTTCAGTCATGTTATACAAACGTAAGTCATGTTTCTTCATTTTTATTATTATTTATTTTATTATTATTATTTTTATTATTATTTATATTGAAAAATAATTCCATTATTTTGTAGAATGTTGTCAAAAACACGAGTATTAGCTTTGCATGGTAAAATGAAGAAAAAGAGATACAAAATATTTGACGAGTTTCGTTCGATGGAAGGTGGCATTTTGATATGTACTGATGTCATGGCTAGAGGTATTGATATATTGGAAGTAGATTGGGTATTGCAATATGATCCACCATCCACGGCAAGTAACTTTGTTCATAGGTACAATTATGATTTTGACATTAATTACATTCCAAATGTTAAGTTTTGATGTGTTCTTAGTAAATTTGTATTTTTAGATGCGGAAGAACAGCTCGAATAGGACATCAAGGTAGCGCATTACTTTTTCTATTAAAGAATGAAGATGCGTATGTAGATTTTATTAAAAGAAATCAAAAGGTAGACGTGCAAGAAATGAAATTGCAAGTATCCTCGGATATGGCGAGAAAGTGTTTACAAATGATGCGAAATTTACAATTGAAAGATAGACAAATATTTGATAAAGCGAATAGGGCATTCGTATCATACGTGCAAGCATATAATAAACACGAATGTAGTTTAATATTAAGATTAAAAGATATTGACTTGGGAAGCCTTGCCATAGGTTTTGGTTTATTAAAAATGCCACGAATGCCTGAATTGAAAGGACGTGATATATCATCATTTGTTGCTCCTGAAATTGACTTCAATTCGATTACATATTTGAATAAGGAAAAGGAACGAATCAGATTAGAAAAATTAAATGAGTTTCGTAATACGGGTACTTGGCCCGGAAAAATTAAACGTAAATTTAAACAAACAGAATCTTGGACTGAAACGAAAAAGAAAAAATTAGAAAAACAAGAAAAACGCCAGAGGCGAAAAGAAAAGAAACAAGTTCTGCAAGAAAAAGGTATTGATCAAGTCAAAAAGAAAAAAAGGTCTATTAGTGCAGAAGACTTGGAAGAATTAGCAAAAGATGTAGCACTGATCAAGAAATTTAAAAGGAAAAAGGTACAACAAGCTTCAATCAGATACATTAATTAGACTTATTTTTCTTGTTATTTCATTAGTCAATACATGACATTGTATTATTTCAGATAACTAAAGAAGAATTTGAGGCAGAATTTGGTGTTAGTTAACGCAACGTATAAACAAATCTAGATGTAAGTGATACTACTTTAGGAAAAATGTTGTATAAAAAAGAAAACAAAAGAATAAATTTTGTTAAGGAAGAAGTTTAATCATTTAACAATAATATATGTATATTGGGAAATGTGTATTTGATTACCGACTGTAAAATATGTGCTGCCATCTAGCAATAATAACTGTTACTTTATTTTACCGATTGGTCAAATATGTGTCAATTTAGTCACAGCAGCAGCAGCAGCAGCAGCAGCAGGATAAGTGGATAGGCATGGCAGGAATAGGCTTTGGTAAAAAAAAGAACCTAGTACAGTTATTCGTATTGCTAGGTTTTTTTTTGTCCCTGTCGAGTGGTTATTCTGTTTTAAGAACGATAGTGAAGCTATCTGTGTTTTATCTCTGTTGTATATTTTTGTTTTTTAAAGGAAAGACAATGATTTTAATTCGATAAAATAAAACTTTTGAAATAGTTATAATGTAATTATTGAGTTCTACAAAATATGATTATCTAGGCAAGTGTTTAAAACAAGTGTGGATATTAAATCGTCTCATACCATACTTATATATAGAGTAATATGCAATGGACCAAATAAAAATTTCAAAGGTAAATTATTCGAATATTAAACTTGTACACTTATACTATATTTATATTTATATATATATAATTTAGTAGTGATATATTTAAAAGCATTTCAATTGGCAGGTAGAAAATGTCCGTTTATTGGAGAAGTATAGTAATAATCATTCTGTAGGTACATTGTATTTAACTTTAACGGATCTTATATTTGTCGAACGAAATGGCAAGAAAAAAATATGGGTACATATTTAATATAATTGATTAATAACTAATAAGTGTGATTGATATATATATATTAATGAAATGTTATTTTAGGTCTTGTATACTCATATATCAAACATAGAGAAACAACCTTTAACTACTGCAGGATCACCACTACATATTAAGTGTAAACATTTTTATATTGTTACTTTTGTTATACCTAAGGAACGCGACTGCCATGACATTTATCTTACATTGTTAAAGCTCTCTTGTCCAGGTAAGATTATATTTTATCATTGCACTTTTTCATACACGGTATATTAATGAATAATTATTGAATAACGTTTTTATAGCAAATTTAGAAGATCTTTATTGCTTCAGTTATCAATCGAGTAAATTACTTCAACACGTTGGGTGGAATTTTTTTAATGTACAAAGTGAATATCAAAGACAAGGAGTACCAAACGAAGAATGGTCTCTTTCCTATTTGAATACTAATTACGAGGTATATCATTATTTATTGTCTATAATATTACTATTTGTAAGCTACTACAAGTTGTATATATATATTTTTGGTTTTTTTGTTTAGCTTTGTGATACATACCCAAAATATATATATGTTCCAAGTACTTGCGCGGACAATATTTTGTTGGGTAGTGCAAAATTTCGAAGTAGGGGAAGACTTCCGGTGTTAACATATTTGCACTCGAATAAGGTTTGGTTTTTTTTTATTTCTTCTTACAAACTAGGTTTCATTATTTTCACATTTAATACAATACATTTATAGATTTGTGTACATTTATAGGCTGTTATCTGTCGTTGCAGTCAACCGCTTTCAGGATTTAGCGCACGATGTCCAGAAGACGAATCAATAATGTATTATATACTTTGTACAAATCCTAATTCTAAATATATGTATGTCGTAGACACAAGGCCACGCGTAAGTCAAATTTTCATTTCTATACAAGTAGTAATATACAAGTAGTTTAGTTTGTACTTGTTTTTCGCTTATTTCTCGCTTATTTCTCACTTATTTCTCACTTATTTTTCATGCAGATTAATGCTTTTGCGAATCGAGCAGCGGGTAAAGGATATGAAAATGAAAATTTCTATGACAATATAAAGTTCCATTTTTTTGGAATTGAAAATATACACGTCATGAGAACAAGCTTGAACAAACTTATAGAATGTAAGGAAAAGTACCGCTTTATGCTACATTCCAAAATGATAGGAATAAGAATACTACTAGAGAATAATTAATCTCTCATATTGAACTCTTGTTCCCATTAGTACAAAGGACAACATCGATGAGTGCTTTTTTAAATGGTCTAGAAAGCAGCGGATGGTTAAAGCATATTCGTTCTATATTGGAAACTGCTTGGTTTATTGCACGAGCAGTTCATAACGGCGTAAGCGTAGTAGTACATTGTAGCGATGGTTGGGATCGTACTGCACAAGTATGTTCCCTGGCTGGTTTACTCTTAGATCCATATTATAGAACTATCCAAGGATTTCAGGTGTGCTGCATATCTATATATATCTATGCATATCTATATATATATATTACTCATTTCTTTTGTAATATATTTTGTAATATTTCCAACTAGATAGTGATTAAAAAAAAAAAAAAAAAGAAAACAACAAATTTTGTTTCTCTTTCTAATAGGCACTAATAGAAAAAGATTGGTTGTCGTTTGGTCACAAGTTCAATGACCGTTGTGGCTATGTTAGTAGTGATGGCAAAGAATTGGCACCAATATTTACTCAATTTATAGATGCAACCTATCAATTATTACAACAATATCCACATAAATTTCAATTCAATGAATTATTTCTTTTAACGCTTCACGACCATGTACATAGCTGTCAGTATGGAACATTTATTGGAAACTCGGAAAAGGAGAGGCAGACCTTTAGGTATAATATACCGTATATAATATTATTAATATACCGTGATTGTGAATGTAACGTTTATTAAATTGTCTGTTTTTGTCTGTTTTTGTATGTTTAGATTAGCCGAAAGAACGTATTCTTTATGGGGATATATTGCTAACAATACCAACGAGTATATCAATCCATTTTATGAATGTATAGCTTGGAACGATGATTCTAATGATGTTCTCCAGCCAAAATTAGCACCGCAAAGTATTATGTAATAAACGTTTTATAATTATTATATTTTATGTAATAAAGGTTTTAGGATTATTTTTCCAAATAATAAATAAACATGTTTTTTTTTGCAGCATTTGGAGAGGATTATATTTTAGATTTGAGAATGGTATTCACCCTAGAGAAACGTACGAGGATATGTTATTGACAATTCATGATCACACTAGTTCTTTAGAAGATCACGTTAAATTTCTTATCAAGGTATATATACTACATACACACATAACTTATGAATAGTACAATCAATTATGAAAATATGAACAATATAAACGTTGATGGGCTAATCATTTCAGAGATTCAATTCTTTGAGTGAATTATTAATTTTAAATGACTCACGAAAAAAAGATATTCAAAGTAAAAATAAGATTGATAATAAATATGTTAAAGAATCGTTATCCGAAACTATAGAGGAAAATGTGAATCACGATGAAAAAATGAAAACTAAAGAAAAAGTCAGCCAAATAGAGAACGAGTTGAAAACCGTTGCTATAGAATGGAAATCGTCTCGTAATATGGAGGAATGTACTTGTTCAACTAATTTTGATGCGTTTAATAGCAAGGTACGAATCAAAAATAATTACCTTGGCAAATAATCAAGGAGAAATGAAGACTTTGAGTGAAAATTCGTTATTATTATTTTCAGCATCATTGTTGGTCTTGCGGGGAAGTACTATGTATGCGATGTGTGGACACGCACGGTGTTTTACCTGGACATTTATCGCAACGTGCTGTACCTATTTGTACAACATGTTCCCAACATTCTGCTAGTTCTTCAATCACCCCTTGATCCTACTATATATGATAGAATATTATTTAGATCGATCGACATTATTCAAATGAAGAAAAATACAAAGGAGTTTCGAAGGAAACACCACCACTTTATTTTGCGCAGAGATACTAAGAAGTATCAAAGTATAAAGCTGCCCTTCAAATCGTACGTATCATTAATTATACAAATATTTTATCTAATTGATTTATTCGTTCCAATTTCTATTGATATCATTAAAATGATGATCTATCTATCTCTCAGTCCAAATCAATATTACTTTTTTTTTTTTTTTTTTTTTTATTAAGAATATATCGAATAATATCGTGCTATTTTTTCGTCTATTTAGACTACACGGCATTTAAAAAGATTTTTCACATTTCATTAAATAATATATGAAATAAACAATAAGTATTGTTATGCGAAATAGAATGTGGTATTATATGTGAATGAAATATTGTGTAAACAAAATGGTAATAATAATAAAAGACAATTATTCGTGAAATTCTTAATACGATGAGATGTAGAAAAAAATGTATAAAGATAACACACTATTTTATCTGTGATAAACGATGATTTTCAACACAAATAATTTCTTCGCACTTGTTTTTGTATGCGCGAGGTATTTTTTATTTTATTGACTATTATTATTTTCATATCCCATACAAATTCATAATAAAGGAAATATTTCATGATTATCAATAATTTTGCTGAATATGATTTAATGAATATATTATTATCTACATCTGCATTTGGAATATTTGGAATATTTTGACATGAAACGCAGAGACCTAAAATGATATTTCCATAATTGTACATAAATGAAAGAGAGAGGGAGTTAGGGTTGGGGGGTTTCGAGCGAGCGAGCGAGCGAGCGAGCGTTTAGAAAGGGGAAAAAGAAGATGTAAAATAACACTTGGTCGAATATATGTATTTATGTATTTAAGAATAAATACAAAGAAGAATATTTTCCTCTTTCTTTTCTGACGCAACCCTGACGCAAATGGAAAAGGTTGGCAAATGCTTCTATGATTCGCGCGATGAAAATGCGAAAAAGTGGAGTGCGTGAGTGCTCGCAAAAAGGCGTTCAGCAATGGTTTTGGAGCTTTAAAGAGAATACATTGTTTGAAAATGTAGTTAGACCGAAAGGGAGGAGGAGGGTGAGTGGGCGCTAGAGAGGGATCGGATCGCTTGCGATACAGCGCAAGACTGAAAAATATTATTTACTTTCTTAGTTGCCGACGCGCGCTTCATATCAGATGAAATAGCTCGTAATTTATCTCCTTTCTCGCCTTTTTATCAAAGACCAAAAATAAAGACAACGCGTGTGTGTGTGTCCCATCGGACGAATCGAAATAGCTCTTATTTTATTTCGTTACTTTAATTAAATTGTTTCGTTAACGATCGACAATTTTACGGAACTCGAAGCTTTTGAAAGTTTCACCTAGACGAACAAGTTTCCAATGAAGGAAGGACGGAACGCTTCTAATTACTTTTCGACTTTTTCAGCATTTTTTTTTTTTATTTTTCCAGTCAATAGATTAGCGTTCGAACGAAATGACAAAAAGGTGGTTAGAACCCTCGAGGAAAAAGAAAGGACAAAATTATTCTTAGCTTTTCTTAAGAACATTTAAAGGTGCGATCGACATTTTTCAACAGCGATTATCCCGACAAGAAGAAATTGGAGAAAATGATTAAGCCGAGATTTGTTTTTTTTTTTTTTTCTTTCCGCTAGTCCCCTTGGAGAACGTACCGGAAATTACGAACTGGCTCTATTTCCGGACGTGCTGTGGCCACCCTGTCGACGGTCACCCTGCCGACGGTCACCCTACCGACGGTCACCCTACCAAGCCCTACCACCCTTCCCCTTTCGTCTTTCGTCTTTTCCTTTTTCTCGCGGGAATGAAATTTCACTTGACAGTTTAACCTTTTTTCCTTTTGCATTGTATTAATATAAGAGAGATGGAAAGTTTGGCAAAACTTTAGCCAATCGAGTTAAATAATCGACGAGCCCAACTCGGTGCGAATTCAAACGAAATAACGAGATTAGCAAAGTTAGGGAGGAATCGTTAGCAAGGGACATAATAACGGTTGATGAGTCCTTTTGGAAGCGAAGCTAGAAGCAAAGCTAGGAGCAAAGCTAGGAGCAAAGCTAGGAGCAAAGCTTAGAAGCAAAGCTAGAAGCAAACAAGTCCTATTTTTTTTTTCGTCGATGAACCAGTTTCATTACGCGCCATTGTTTTTCTTTTAAATTGCACGCGCGAATGAGCTTTTTTGCTCGTATCAAGATTTTTCCTTGGAAAAAACATTATTTGTCGCCTACTCGCCGTGGGATTTTGTATCGGATGAAAAGGTAAGCAGCAACTTTGTTAGAAATTCAACGTGGTCGCGGTCGTTTAAGACCTTCGAGTACATTGAATAAATGACGAGGACAGTGACACTGTCCGTCCTCCCGAGTATACGCCGCACGATCTATTTTTGAAGCAAGCTAGTCACCCTGTTAAATACTATAACATCCCTCGAACAAGCCTTTACCCTCTTTTTCGTACGTCGAACTTTTCAACTTAACGAGGTCTAAAGCGTTTGCCATATCAATGTTTTTTTTTTTTTTTTTTTTTTTTTTCTCAACCATTTTCTTTCTTAACTCTTAACTAATAAGGATTGCATTTTGGCGATCGTCAATATCATCGTGTATTGGATGTGATCGCAAGGACTCTAATTTCCGAGCATTCCCCTAAAGGCCAAGACGGTAAATCACGGTACAAGTAGTAGTAGTAGTAGTAGTAGTAGCGTGCACGGCAGGAGACTTAGCTCGAAAGTTATGGCGTACGATATACAGAATGTTTCTATGTTCTCTAGGTAGAGATACTAGCAACTTCCAGCGAAGGAAATCTTCAGACGTCCGGGGCTTTACGAGTCGTCGTCTTGTATACCTTTCCCTTTCCTCGACACTCCCCGTATAAACTTTCCTACTTCCTTCGTGCCTCTTCGGCGGCACTGTACGCCATGGCATAATGATTTACTCATATTCATATTCATAAGTGCCCCATGCATATTCGCAATAAATTTCCTTACAAGATTAGCCTTCCCTATTCGGAGCCAATTATTTACAAGAGTAATACAAGTGAAATTGCATCTGGATTTTCCTTAATTCGATCTATCCAATGTTGTTTAAATTGTCAATTGCAAAAAATAATCTATTGGCATTATTTCAATCGTAGAGAATACATATAGTCGAGATTTTCCCCAAGCAAGAGCTCTTTCTCTCTCTCTCTCTCCTTCTCTCTCCCTCGGTAGATGAAGTCGAGTAGAATTTGGCCGACAGGGAATATCCGTGTCGAGTTATTCCAAAGAGGGATGAAATATCTTCTACACGGATTCCTGCATCCGTCTATCTAGACTATTACTTATCCAAGTGGCCATTTATTCTCTTTACAAATATATTTTATAATATATATTATAATTGTCATGTAAGGGGTCAGTTGTGCTTTGCTTATCGAGAGATCGATTTGTAGAAAGGCAAAAAGGGCTATTGCCCGGCAGAATGGCGCGCGACATCGATGAAATTGGATTTAATGAAATACTTGGACTGTTTTCGTTCGGATCGATTAGACGAACCGCCAAGTATCTCGTCGAAATCCGAGCAAACTGGACGCAACTTTCCGTAGTCGTCGTCGTCGTCTTCGTCGTCGTCTTTGTCGTCGTCGCCGTTGCGTCGCCGTCGCGTCGCCGTCGCGTCGCCGTCGTGTCGTTGTCTCCCTTTTGTCGCAGGGCGTCTTCGTCCTACCCGCGAACGATTCCCCCTCGTTTATTGCTGTCTCTCTCTTACTCGTTAGTACACGCGTACTCGTTGGACGAATCAGATGGCGTGGATGTTCCCCAATGCCGCGAGCTCTGGTGGGAGCTACACCCTCGGTGACGTTCGAGGCGGACCTCAGTCGGCCGCGAGTCCTCGGACGGTGAGACTATTTTTTTTCTATTTACAATATTTTCATTTACGAGCGGAGAAAGGAAGGAAGGAAGGAAGGAAGGAGGGAAGGAAGGAAGGAACGATTCTTGTCACAATTCTCTCAAAGCTTCCTCGTGCTCTGGTGAAAGTACCCCAAGGGTCAAGCTCCAATCATAAGTAAAATACGTAAGTGAACTTATTCCAAAATATAAGACTTATTACTTGAATAAAGTAACAGTAGCGAACACGATAAATACACCATTTGTTTCTTTGATAAGCTTCGATAAGCTTTAATAAGGTTCGCTCGAAAAACAGAGTCCTCTCGCTTTTTCGATTTATTATTTTGTCCTTGTTCTTTCTGTTACGCTCCGTGAACGGGTCCTAGGGGAGAACCAATCGATATTCTCGAGTTGTAATTGACGACAAGTCGATCGTTCGGCCACAGGGATGCAAACCAAAACAAACCAATATTTGCAATATCGCGCTAACCGTCAATTACTAATTGTTTTTTGTATCGTCCACCAGCAAGACGTTCGCTACGCTTCGCTGTGCTTTGCTTTGCTTCGCTTTGCTTTGCTTCGCTTTGCTTTGCTTTGCTTTGCTTTGCTTTGCTTTGCTTTGCTTTGCTTTGCGTCAAGTAATGGATATCGATCTTCGTGATTTGTCCTTTAGTCCAATTTTTCCCACGCGTCTCTTCCATGTGTATTTCAACTTGGAAGGTCCTTTAGATTTTCTTTCCTTTTTCCATTAATCGTATTTCTAGAGTATAATTAAGAAAGAAAACATTTCATTTTGTCCCTTTTTAATGTCGGCATCGTCTCTCTGTGCGGCTTCTATTTCGAAAATGTTGCTTCTCATTTTCATAGAAAAGAGAAGAAAGGCATCGAGTAATCCTGGAAAAAAAACTCCGAGGGAAGATATTCCACTTGGCTTACTTTATTTTCTTTTTTTGTTTTCGTGCGCGAGCAATGAGAGTTTCTCATCACGCGCATATATTTTTCAAGGCTCCTCTGAATATAAGGCAGATACGATTGCTTTTTTTACTTTGTTTTCACTTGTTTTCACTTGTTTTCACTTGTTTTTTCTCTAACGCACAAAGGCACAATGCCCTTCTTACTCTTCTTCTTTTCCACCCTTAAACTTCGCTGATAGACAACGCAATATGTGTTTTTTTTTATTTATTTGAAGACGTCGTAACGCGTGATTACCAGGCTAACGAAGATAGAAAAAAAAAAAAGAAAAGAAATATTCATTTCCTTTCCTTTTACATTGATTTCCTGTTTGAAATTCGCTTGTGATCTTTAAAAGTATTGTTTATTTGGCGATAGCATTTATTACAAGACCACGCGATGTCACACAGACAAAAGACTGCCACTGTTCCAATTTTTATTGAAGGCCCACCCCACCAATAAGTTCATCTATTTCCTTTCCCTCTCTCTCTCTCTCTCTCTCCAAAAGGGCGTATTTTATTGTAGGTAGTATAAATATGTAAAAATTAGTAAGTAAGGGAGGGGGTGATAATTCTTCTCTATTCTGCATTAGCAGAGCTTGTTTTATTTCTAAGATGATGATTATACTTGATGTCGTCGTCACTTTGTGTATGTATAAATGCGCCAAGTCTCTCGACATTCCCAATCCATAAATATAGGGAAGATCCAATCTTTCATTTATCGAGAAAGAATGGTGGTGGTGATAAGTATATAAGAATAACGCGCGAAGGGAACAACCAGCGAACAACCTCTTCTTGATTCGGTTCAGCTTTTAACGACGAGTGTAATACGATATGTTTAATTTGTAATATTTCATTTTGCGCTACATTGTGTTGAAATTGAGTTTAATTATTTAGTGATTTCTTCTAAAGAGAGGAGGGGGCAAGTTGGGTTATCTTCTAGAGGGATCTTCTAGAGGAAAAATGCCGTTTATACGTGTTTTCGTCTAGGGAAAGATTAAGGTTCTCATAAAGAGCCGGGAGAGGACGGAAATCGAGTTCGTCTCGAAGGAGGGAAGTATCATATTTTATAAACTTACGATTTATCCTTTTTTTTTTCTTTTTTATCTAGTTATTATATAGTTTCTTTTGTTTTTGTATTTTTTGCCTGTGCAACCCCCGCACACACATACGCAGTATTCTAATCGGCAGTCGATTGCGTAGCAGAATCGTCCGTTCGCTGCTACCTGGCCATCTATTCTTTGACGCGAGTGATTTGCATAAATTTTCCACTGGAAATGAAATTGCTCGTGAAACGTTGGAGAAGCTTTCCGCTCTATTTGAAGTCGGCGCCCTTTCGACCCGCCCTCGAGTCTTCCATGCAACGTTTCCTGCTACGCTTCCTGCTGCTACGCTTCCTGCTGCTGCTGCTGCTGCTGCTACGCTTTTCATTCATTTTCCTCCAAGGATAACGAAAACCTTTGTCATCCCTTTTTATTTCACTATTTTTACAATCTTTCATCTATATTCATCTATTAATGAGTTTTTTTTTTTTTTTTGAAAGCTTATTATAGAAGAGTTTTAAACGATTCCTTGATAGTTTGTTAATGAAATCGTTTTTTACGCTACCTTTGCGAGGACTTTGATTAAAGGTTAAAGCATTTGTCGGATGGGTAGGCGATAGAGTAGACGATAGTAGACGATAGTAGACGATAACCGACGATAACCGACTACTAGCGTACGTGTGAAGAAACTGGATTAGAGAAACGAGTCGAATGATATTGCTCTTCGAATTTCGAATGAAACTTTAGTGCAAAAAACAAAAAGAAAAACTTTAATACCCAGTCCTCCTGCGTTTTATTAAATATTTCGGAAGAAAAAGAATATCGTTTAGCACGAACGATTACGATCGTTTGCCAGTTGTGTATATTCCAAAGGAATAACAAGAGGAAGATTAATTAATAGAAAAAGCTCATTACGTAGAATGTTCGTAGAATATTCGTAGAATATTCGTAGAATATCCGTAGAATATCCGTAGAATATCCGTAGTTGTAGCCCCGGGTATTTACTCCCTTTTAAAGTCGAGTGTTTCTTTCTCTCGAGCACCCCCGACCCGGTCCTTCGCTTTTCTTCTCGTTTCTTCTCTTTCAAAAGAAATCATCTTTTGCTCTTTTTACCGGCGCTCGTACCGGCGCTCGTACCGGCGCTCGTACCGGCGCTCATTGGATACTTCTTGGAAAGCGACACAAAAGGGACGCCGGAAGAATATCTTGTTGGAGAGAGCTTTGACGGTTGGTCGGTCGGTCGGTCGGTTAGTCCTTTTAGTCCTTTCCAATTCTCTTTCCAATTCTCTTTCGAATTCTCTTTCTAATCGTTTTTTATCCAAATTTGTCGATCTTGGAAGCAAGTTCGGCACGCGTCATTCCTAAAATTGGGTCGTGTTCGTTCAAAGTTTTATCCAGCTTAAGCTCTCCCCGTTGTGTCGTTCTTCTTTCGTCAGGAAGAAGAACTTTCGAAGAATCGGTGTTATGCTTACGAATTAGTCGATAGAGCAAACGAGAAAGATTATTCGAAAATCCCTTAATTTAGTGAAAGTAGTCTATAGTGCTCTCTATTGGATGGCTTACGGAAGGTATTAAAACACGCTACGAATTTGTAAAGCCCCGACTTTATTCTCTTTTATTTCTTCCATTGGAGAATTAGCAAATACGTTAGGACCCACGTTAGGACCCACGTTAGGACCCACGTTAGGATGTTGTGACGAGACATTTTTTCACTTTTCTCTTAAAATAACTTTTGCGTAGAAGCGTAAGGAATATATTAATGAAAAATCAATTGCTCATCGAGTAGAAGGTGTAAGCGGAGCAGAGCGGAGCAGAGGTCAAGGTATAAAGTTTAATCGTTCTCACGTTCCTACTTACCCAAATGTTTTGCTAACTCGATCGAATAATGTTTGTAGGAAAGTTTCATTACGTTAGGTTAGAAAGGAGGGCGGATTTGGAGTGGCGCACACATTCTTTTCCCATCGGGTCGACGTCACATAAATCGTTCGTTCGCACTAATTGCGGCCAGCGGCCAGCGGCGTTGTCCTTCACCCCTTGGCGCGGCTTAATCTCGGCCGGCTGTCACATTTTTCAATTAAATCCTCCATGCAAATTGGTGGTGGCTCCTATGGATCGTATGGATCGTACGGATCGTACACCCACTTCCACTTTTGCACCAGCGAAATTTCATTTACAGAGATATTTTCTTATCGCAATAAAGAAACAAACTGTTGTTTTTTCCGCACGCAGTCCGCAAAGAAACACTAGGAGGTACTACTCTCTAGACTTATTGAATGGAGTGTCCTCGTTTCTGGCGGGTTCAACGAATTTCCATCGAGGTAGGGCATAAAGACCGTATCATTGATATAAGGAATGGAAAGTTTTTATTGGAAAGTTCCTTCCGCATTTGTTTCGCTTCGATCCTCTTATCCGGCTTATCGGTCGCACCTACGCCTACACTCTTACTCTCTAAAGATTACAAACCAAAGTAAAGGGAAATTCGGAATTTGTAATAAAAGGAGTAGTCGGTTAACAACGTAGGCTTCCCGAGATTTTCAAAGTTTCCAAGTAACTTTGTATCCGCATTAAAAGTCATTTTCAATGTTTGGATTTTCAGTGTTCGGATAAGCAGCAAATGCCTTTCTATGCTGCATTATTGCTGCATTATTGCTGCATTATTGCTACATTATTTCTTGGAAGGAAAGTTTATTTAATGTTTCTATATTTTGAGTCAAGGCAATTAGTACTTTCGATCTAGCACCACGCGTGTTTCCTACATTTTATTTCATTTCCATTTATATTTGATTCGACGCGGCGGCGATATATTCCACTCGAACGACAAGTTTTCCGTAGCATTAACTAGAAAAGTTTGAAGTATTCTTTGAAGTCTTCGCAAATTAGAGGCTCTCTCTCGTAAATTACGTAATTTGGCGAGACTCCTTGTGGGAGGAGGAGGAGGAGGAGGAGTACGTAGGAGTGTGCAAGTAGGGGTGGAAACCGGTTGGATTAGAGTTCGGATGCAACCACCACGCGTGTCGTCTTTCATTTCCTTCCTTATAAGGAAAAAATGCTTAATGAGATTCTTAACCCGCTAAAGTATAGCCTTTGTAGTAAGTAAAGTATCACACTCCTATGTAAATAGATTCGCACCAGAGCGTTTGGATAAGGTCGTCGTCAAACAAAAAAAAAAAAACAAAAAAAAAAAACAAAAAACA